CTTGAAGCGGAGAGTTTTCCGCACCAGCACCGCCGCACCGCCTCCCTTGCCGATGTGCGACTGTGCATGGAGCAAATAATCTCCAGTGTGCATGCTGACGATTTGCTCCGACGACTTCCAAGTCCTCTGGATGGCTATTACGTCTGCTCCTTGCGCCATTAATGTTGCGAGTTTTGACGGCGCGAGGCAAGAAACGTTCATCTGGAGTACTGCTATGGGGCCTGGGTGCTGCTCAACGTCTCCGCGTAGCAGTAGCTTTTGTCGTTGCGCGTCAAATACGGCACGCAAACGGTATGTATAGCGCTGATAAGCGCTGATGGAATTCAGAAGCGGATATAAATACCGCTCAGCAGACAACCATGTAAATGGCTCCATCTGGTGCCCTTCCGACCCGTTTGTGCGCCGTCTGTCACCTCTCCGCGCGCAGCGGATGGGCAGCAGGCGCTTAGCTTCATCCCTAGCAAAGAGTACTGCACGCTGGCACCACGTTGAGGCGGACGGCTGACCCAGAGCGTTGTTGTGGTCTTATTGGTAGTACTATTTGGCATTTGGATCTTCTGATTTAATGTTGGTGCCTTATGATCCTCATCGCCTTGTGTATTTTACTGCGCCTTTTATTTTGTGCATCTGACATACCGGTCGCACCTTGTGTGTGTGTGGAGACTGAGTTGCCAAACCTGGTGGCTCTGGATTATCGCTAGCCGAACTCAGTGACTCTGGCGGAACTCGTGTCTGTCCAGTGATGGCCGTGCCTGCTTCCTTTGGAAAGAAGGTCCTGGACTTCTCAAACCCTCCTCGCTGTCTCTCCCACTCTCTGTCTGTGGCACACCGGTCTCCCCACCATATGGCTGTAATGCACCAGGCATGTTTTTGTAGGATCCGGTTTCCCTAGCTCAGGGCTGGGAGGACGGCTGTTATCGTTATTATCGTCTCCCGTCGCCGTCACGCACACGGACGAGCAGCCGCAGCACAAGAGCGCAAGGACCAACACGGCGCCGCACCGTCACCATCGCAGTCATCATCGCCCGTAGTGGAGTCGCTGGAGTCAGTCAGCTGATCGGTGAGACGGAAAGGAAAAGAATGGAACGAGAGGGAGAGGGACGGAGCACAGCGGATACAGCGAGAGAGCGCAGACAACATGAGGAGAGGGCAGCAGCTCCAGCCGCACAGTCCACACACCACGAGACGGCATCCACGCAAGGAAGGCACACAACGCCAGCAGCCACCCACTATGCAGGAGGAGAAGACATCCACCACCATCTCCCCCAGCTCATTCCCGCAGCCCCAGGGAAATGGCAAAACCCGCGGCCACCACACGGCGCACACGGAGCAAGCGAACCCTCATCCATCCATGAAGCGACAAAAAAATTTCCTGCCATCCCGCCATCAATGGGACACGGAGCCCAACTCAGCGCAGTCACACGCGGTGCATCACACGCGCAGGAAAATAGTCTCGGGGTGCGCTCCCTCCCCCCCTCCTCCTCATGGCCACGGAAGAAGACAACAGCCGCCACACGCAACTGCCAGCATGCACTAAAAAAGGGTGCATTCAAATCCACTGCAATGTGCATCTTGTGTGTGTGTGGTTGTGTGTGCCTGCAGCAACACAAAGCAAAGACGTGGAAAAGAGGGAGCAGAGTATGCGGAGGGACGCAAAAAAATGTACAGCGGAGACGCATAACGGAAACAACAAGAAGAAGAAGACCGCTCAAACTCATCACTGCACTGCAGCCCAAGCAGCGGCAATTCACACAATATTTATTGAAAACAAAAAAAACGTCCCCCTTCGTCTTATGTAAACCCCATCACACAAAATAATTATAAATGAAAAGAAATCGTCCATTACTGCTCCACACAAATTTAAAATAAGAAAAAGATCGCCTGGCTGCCGTGTGGCCACACCAAACTGTCTGTATGTATTTTGCCCGCAAAAGAAAATTAAAAAGATGGTTGCGTGTGCTTCGACCGTCCGACCCTCCGTGTGCCCGCACATCGTTTATATTTCATGGGTCATCTGCGTGTTGCTGCTCCCCTCAGCCCTCTCATCGGCGTGCGAGTGCGGCCCGCAGAGCACAGTCACTCGTGTGTGTGGGGACTGAGAGAAGCACGCAGAAATGACGGCAGTCGCGTCTCTCCATCGGGAGAGTGAGCGCAGCAAAAGAAAAAGGAAATCATCGGAGGGGAGAGAAATGCTCACGAGGCCGACACCGAAGGGTGCGCCACCGCATGAAATAAACACGCAAAGCAAAACAAATCCTTAAAGAAAAACACGGCGGCAGGGTGTGGCTGTGTGTGTGGCGCTGCGGGTGTCTGCCCGCCCTGGCCGCAAGGAAAGCAAAACAAGAGGGAAGAAATGTGTGCTCCGCCCCACAGGCCCTCGCCGCACGCCCACACGTCACGGCTCCCTCAGCGCGCCGTTCGTCGCGGCCCCTCCTCATGCGTGCAGCAGGCGAGGCGCACAGGGCCGTCGTCATGAGCGTGTCGGTGGGTGTGCGAGTGGAGCAGTTGGGCGGAAACACACGGCACCCCTCGCAGGAAGAGTGCAGCAACAAACAATTAAAGAGGGAAGAGTAGAAAAGAAAAAAACGTCCATAGTGATTGCCCCCAAAAGCAAAAAATGAAAATAATTAATGTATTAAAAGAAAGTAAACAACGCACAAAAAATCTTTCCCATACGGAGAGTAATCCATTGGCAGGAGTGTGTGTGTCGGTGCAGGGAGGTCGAAATTGTCCCACGCGGCAGCCAGTCAATCCTCACAGAGCCGCAAACACCCACAGTCCCAACAAAAGAAGCAACAGCAGTCCGCTCCCACGCACAGTGCCGGCATCGCTGTTATTCCCCTGCGACAAATTTCCGAGACTGCTGCTGAGTGCCGCAGCCTTTACTTCGCCCTCCCTTTTCTGCCCATCTTTTCCTCCCGCCGTTTCCCCATTCTCACCAGTGTGTCCTCCCGCCTCAGGTGTCACGGCGGTTCCATCTGGCGCCATGGTTTCAGCGGTAGGGGCATTTGTATCTGCTGTGGCAGGAGTGCCCACTGACGGTTGTTGCGTTCCATCTCCCTGCACCGTGTCTCCAGCTTCGGCATCCACCGTTTGGCCTCCCTCGGACGAAGAATCAACATCCACATTCGAATGTCCTTCGGGAAATGTTCCCGACACTGACGGGTCTTCGGACTCTTTGGCTGCTGGAGAAGTCGTGGCACTGGACACCGCTGACGTGGATAAAACGCCACTCCCCTCATTTTCACTTGTCCTCAACGGATCCTGTTCAGTCTGCTGTTGCCCGCCAAGACTAGACGGAGTTTTGGTTTCCAGCGTAGCTTGTTTACTTGCCTCTGGTGGAGTACCCATCACTGTTTTTGTACCTTCTGCCTTTGGAATAGAAAGTTTTGTGTTAAGCGCAGTAATCTCACTGTCATTCAACGGGCGGTTGTACAGCAGGACGTTCGTCACAGTCACAGACACGTCTTCTTCGCTCCCTGCGCTGCCTCCACTGCGTTCGCCCCCTCCAATGTAGAAGTGGGATACCGCTTTTGAATCCTTATTCTCCAATGCACACGGCACATCCCCACTCACACTTTTACCATCGACGTACGCGGAGCCCTGGGTGCCGTTCCGTAGCAAAATCACCACGTGGTGTGTTGCCTCCGTCGCCAAAGTGACGCTTTGACCCTCAGTGTTCGTTCCGCCCCTGCACACTAATATACACTTACCTCCTCCGTTGTATGACAGTCCCAGGAGTACAGTCTTCCCGCTGTCATTCATCTTCACACCCATCAAAGGAATGTGGCTGCCGCTCTTCGGCACACCGTCGATGGACACCGTCGCCACAAGAGTGAAGTTGTAGTTCGCAAAGTGGTACAGCTGATTCTCCTCTTGATTGCCAACGGGCCACTCCGCCCACGCTCCCGTGAACTTCACACTGCCTTCATGCAATGTTGCCCTATTACCCCCATCATCATTCCCCTTCACTGTGGCGTTCACCCCGAGGTACTCGTCTCTCCATGTGTCATTAGAGAAGTTGCCGGACAAAAAGCCAACCAGCCCATCCGTGATCCTAACAGTAGGGCTGCAGGCATTGCCAGTAGAGGCATCCTCCTCAGCACTTTTAGAAGGGCACAGCTCGGAGACAATTTCGTCCACTTTCTTCCACGTCGCCAGCACATCCTTCACACGCTGCAGTTCCGCAGTCAGAGGCACAGAGACCATACCGGGTGATGGTTTGCCCTCAGCGCCCTTCTTCTTCTCGTACAGTGCAATCAACTTCTCCTTCTTATCTCCACTTCCAGCACTTCTGTACAACAGGGAGCTGGCGGCAACGTCCTCATCATCGGATACCGGCCCAATATCAACAATGTGCGTATTGTCCGTCAGCCAAAGATGGAGTTTTCCCTTTCCGTTTTCTTTTTTACTTTCCTCCTCGGGATACACCGGCAGAGTAACGAGCATCACTTTTTTATCATTAACACCGCCAATCGTCGCTGTGATGAACCCGCTTCTAACGCCACCTTCGCCCTTTTTCTTGCCCCACACGCGCGAGAGTGTCCCGAGTGCCTCCGTCCACGACTCCCCCTTGTCAGCGGACTCGTACACCCTGCGGCGGCCATCATCACACGCAGTCATCATGATGAGTTTTTTGTCCTTCCACTCCACGACGGAGGGATCACTGCAGCCACCGTCAGGAACCTCATTCGACAGTACCCAACTCTTAGTATCCTTCAAGGTGTATATGAGCAACGAAACGGTCTTTCCACTCTCCTTCTTCATGCCTTCCACTGGGAACACAAGCGTATCATCATGCATCTTAATACCCGATCCACCGCCGCCAATCAGTCGTGTCGAACCTAATTTTTCTTTTTCAACAGTAGAAATGCATGGGACGCCAGCAGTATCTCCCCAAATAATACTGTCACTGCTCTCACCACCAACCTTTCCTTTCACCAGCAAAAGTCCGCAGTCCTCGGCATCATTCTTCGGAGCACCAACAACAGCTGCCTGGCTGTATTTCCCAACAAGCATGTAAATTTCATTTTCCTTCACGACTGTTGTCGGTCGGTTCACAATTACTTTCGTTTCGCTTTGGGAAACAGCATGGCCCTCTGGTTGGGAGGCGCATTCCTCTTTATCGGATGGACATTCCTCCAGTACGTGTATATTCACTTTACTCGCATCCAACTCCTCGTTTGTTTGCCTCTTATCCAACGTCAGCAGCCCCGAGGCAATCCCAGTAAAACTGCCTTCACCAGCACCATTTTTTCCCGTGCACTGCGCCTCGGCAACGGCAAACACTTTACCATCCACCTCAAGAAGACTGGGAAAACGGAGCGAACCCACTTTTTCTTCTTCTTTCTTATTTCTCCAAACAAAATGATTTTCCGGTGAAGATCCTGGGCCTTGCGTCGGTGCATCAGCTTGATGATCCCCAACAGCGTTACAGCACATCATCACGACAAGGAGAAGGAGATGCAGCGCGGAATTAAACACACGCCGAGACATGTTGGGCCTCTGCGGCTCACTCTCTCCTCCTCCCCTCCTCCTCCCGCCGGATCCGGTCACGCGGCGACGGTTGTGTGTGCGGGGTGCCTTCACTGCAGCAACACGTGAGAGCATATAAATATGTGTGTGTGGGCGGTGTGTGTGCTGTTGGTCCTTTCAGTGCCTTCCAATTTCACAGTAGCGTTTAGCGTTTAGCCTTGCTTCCTCCCTGTTTGTGTGAGAGAAAGAGAGAGAAGAGGAAAAAGGAGTAAAACAGTGAACACCGCCACCCATCCACAGCGAGTGGCACCATCATCCCCACCGCAGTCACTCCCAACAACAACAACTCACGCACACAGACACACGGAACGAGAAGGAAGAACAGTGCACCGGGAACACACAGCGACTGCCACCAGCAGTAAAAGCCAAAGCGGGTATCTTGCCCTTCCGCCACGCGTCAGCACACACGCTGAGCAACGCCCACATACACTGCCGCCAGTCGTTTTACTGTTGTCTTTCCCCGCACCATCCATCACACATCGCCCCGCACAGCCGGAGAATCCTCCGTCGCTGTATGAACAGCGGGAGGAACACGTCGGCACGTGCAGCTGCCGGGCAAGAATCCATACTCACCTTTCCCAGGCACCCTCAATGCCACACCACGTTAGTCAACTGCTGCACGCCAACACCACAACCGCAGCAAGTCCAGGGGACGCACGGCGAGCTCACACCCTCCATCCCCGCAAGAGACGCCGCAGCCAAATCGTGTGAAAAATGGCATGTGCATTTGTGTGTCTGTGTTTGGCATCGCCTATACATGCAGAGCAGCTGTGCGCCACAAGAGAGTCAGAAGAAAGCAACGGCAGAGAGAGGCAGATAGCACACACGCAAATTACTCATATCATCACACACACACACACGCAGCCGCGGAATGGGTGCACTCAACCACAAAATCAAAAAGGAAAACAAAAAAAAAGCCGAAGCGCGGGACAACCAGCGGACACACACTCTCATTGCTCCCGTAAAGCAAAACACACACAGAGGGAGAGAGAGAGAGGTCGCCCACTCAATGCAATGGAAACAAAACAGAAACAGTTACGGTGCTCCGCCCATGCAGCCAGGCAGGACGGCAGCGGTGCGTGTGGTGCAAAAGAGAGCACCAACGGGCCTGCATGGGTGTGCATGCATATATAAAATGGGCACATTATGTGTGTGCTTCGTGGGGTGAGGTGAGAGCGAGAGTCCATGCAAGGGGACACACACACACAGAGAGAGAAGGACGAGTGTGTGTGCGGGCGGTGCATGGCTCTCTCTCCCTCACTCTAACGCGGCCACCACCGCAGCAGCAGCAGCACACGCAACAACAACAAGAAGCAAAAGAGGGGAGGTGGAGTGGGAGACCGCGGTGCTGCCGTCACTGTCGCCAGAATTAGATGTAATATTTGTTTGGGCGACGGTGTCTGTTTGTGGTGTTTGTGCTGCAGTTTCATTTGCTTTAGGAGCATCGTGTGTGTTACTGTCTTCGGGCCTGTCTTGTGGTTCTTTGCTGTGAGGCCGTTGGGCGTCGTTCTCATCCGCCCTACTCCGGCCATCATCACTGCCACTTGTAGAGTTGGATGATGTTGCTGTTGTTTCCGCCGAACTGCCTGTATTTGCATTATTCATGGAATCTGGTGTTTCTGTGTCTTCTCTGTGTTGGTTTGGCGCAAAATTCCCTGAAGTTTTTTTGGGTGCTTCAGGCGCCGTTTTAGCGAGTGACGATGGCGTCATGCTTGTTGTTTCTGTTGTATTCTGTGAGCCTGTTGATGCTGTTGGGATTGTTTATTTTGCTGAAACGGTCATCGCAGGTGACGGCTCAGGTGATGGTAGTGTTGATTTTGGTGGTAGTGGTAGTACACCAGGCAGTTCTTGTGGCGCTAGGCTTCTTTCTTCTGATGCTGCTGGAGCTACTGCTACGGCTTGTGGTAATGTTGGTTGTGGTGGTATTGCCATTGTCGTAGTCGTGTTCGTCGTATTTGGCTTTATTTCCGTAACAACTCTGTTTCCATCCTGTCCCGCATTAGCCGTATTAGATAATCCATTTAGCTGACATGGCTTTTCTTTTGAATCCTGTTCCGCACAGGACAGCGCATTTTCCGTCTGCAACGCACCAGCGCCTGCACCTGAACCCTGTCCCTTATCGGCGATAGCTTGTAATTGTGGCCGAATGTCAGATAAATCCGCATCTTGATGAGATTTACTCTCACTCGCCATCACACATACGGACGGGCAGCAGCACAGGGCAAGCACCAACAGGGCGCACAGCAGACGGCACGTCATCATCGTGAGTGTGGTCGTTCGGTGGTGTGGAGCTGATCTGCACAGCGAGGGACATGGAGAGCAACAGGGGAGACGAGAGGTGCGGCAGACACACACAGAGGGCACACCACATGAGGAGAGGGCAGCAGCCAGGCATGCACCGTACGCCGCACACACAGCCCTGCCGCAACACCAACACACAGATGGAGGAGGGAGAAGCAAACAGGAGCGGCACACAAGGCTCCACCGCATGCACATACGGCGAGAGCGGTCCGTCGTGTCTGCATCCCTCACGGAGGGTACGCACACACACAAGAGGAGGTGCAGCACACACAGCAACACAAAAGCAATGTAACAATGAAAACAGAGAGATCCCCGCACACCACGTGGATTGTTGGTCCACGGGAAGTGCAGCCAATATTCATCAAAAAAGCAACTCAGTTACCTTTGGCCCTCGTTCATATTCAGGGCAAGGAATGGAAGAGTGCAGAAAACTATTTATTTGTGTTTCGGTTTGAATGTTGGCAGATGTCTTCATGTATTTTGTTTTGTTTTGCATAGGGCAAACCCTCATGCCTGCATCGTGTGTTGGGGTTCCCGCAGGGTGCACAATTATTTATTCTTTCCTCTGGTGAATGTTTCTTGTGTTGGTGCAGCCAATAATTCGGTTTGTGTTGTTCCTGCCTTTCGCTGGTAAAGCGTTGCAATAGATGTTTGTTTTCCTCCTTCGTTGCTGTGGCACCTGATTCCTCGCCGTTTATTGCGGTGGAAATGGGAATATGTGAGTGGACTCCCACGCACCAGAACGCACCTTCGCTCCTATTTATTGGTGCATGGAAGGGCATGTGTGTTTGGTGGTGTCTCGGCCATATATTTTGTGGGCGTACATTCCCCTGCAGGCTGAGGGCGGGATGACGCTCCGTCGCGGTGCACTTCCCTCGCATGCCGCCCGCGGTGATTCATCATGCATCACCCCCTCACATATTCCGTGGTGCCACACCGCTGATATTACTGCAGCCGCTGTGGTTCCGCGCATTTCACGCATTTGATTGTGCCACAATACATCCGCTCGTGTGGCCGCCGCATCCAAACAGCGGTGCCCAACACCGTGAGCGGCAGTCCACATCCTTGTGTGTTCCAACGCTGTGGTGTTTTACTGTCAGCCAGGCGTCAGAACAGGAGAGTATTGTGCTGGCAGTACAACACACGGAGCTGCAGTGAATGACTCGGGCGGCGACGCATCTATTTGTCGCAAAGCAGTGGAAAGGAGTCGGGCAAAATGATGCCGGCTGCATTCACAACACCACATCCACAGCCAAAGCATGCGACGTGATGTGTGTTTCACTGCTGCTCTGAAATGCCTGCAGACGACGTCACTAGTGGAGGTATGCCATCCATGATCAGCGGACAGACAATAATCGGCATGGGAGGTCACAAAAGGCAGCAACGACGCCAGCAGCAGGAGCAGCTCTCTCCCTCTCTCTCTGCTGCCTCCGAGAAGCAAATATTCCACCAGCCACAGCTGACTGTGCCATCGTGACACTCCATGCACGTCGTGGCTGCGTCAACACATCCTGTTCCCTGCAGCGCCTCAAAAGATGCCTCACTCCGTCCACTAAGTGCATCGGTGTGGGCCGTGCCTCGGCTGTTCGTGAGGACCACAGCGATATGAGGGTCACCGAGTCGCAGCATGTTTGCTGTGACGTTGTTGCATGGCACCTGCACACACACACGCAGCGCCTGCATCCCTCCATTTTGTGTCCGCCCTCTGCCGGAGTGGCCACACACACGGGCAGCAGCAAAATCATTTCACCCTCGACGATCCAAAATCAACACCGACATCCCTCGCGACGCAAAGATCTCAGTTGCCAGCACGGGCCTCCTGTCGCTCTGCCATCGACGATGAAACACGGCACAGTGCACGCACTTATTTTCCTCGTGTGCAGTCAGCCGTTTGCTTCACGCATTCTTCGACGGGCTGACGTCCATAAAAGCACGCCACAAAATGCCACCGTGATCGCACAATCTCTTGCGATGAGCGTCGGTGTGTGCATGGATCCGCTGCTCACACGTGCTGGCAGGCAGCCTGCAGCCGGTGCCCTCGTGCCATTTCATCGGCTCCAGCACGGGAAAGAGAAAGTGGCCTATTCCCGATGCACTTATTCCCACCAGCAGCACCAACACGCTGGTCGCCAGCCGTCATTCCTCAGCACATCCAGGAATGCTGAAAAGTGACGTGGAACTGTCAGCCAGCAACGCCACAATCCCCGCACACATGTCGGCTCCACCAGAGAAGACACACAAATCACAAACAGCACCCTTCACATGATTTCCGAACATCATTCCAACACACCGCGGCACGCCAAACAGAAGTAGTCGTCACTCCAATGCACCTCCCCACACAATCACATAGTCCATGCACCACGCACGGCAGCAGCTCACACGCGGTCAGACAAATGTTCCTCGGATCAGTGTTATCCGCGTGCAGCAGTGGGAAGTAAACAAAAGAGACAGCTGCCAAACCCCAAAGAGTGCCGCAACTGGCCGCAAGTCAACGGAACGCAGCCACTCAAATGAATTCAGTCCTCATGCCCTCAGCCTCCCACCTTCCCCACAAAGGACCCAATAACTGCAAATCAAATACCCTGTCCATTAAAATTGCTGTGAAACACCAGATTAAGCTGCAGTGCCTTATGTTGTAATCCAAGGACATTGTTGTCGCCTTCACGGAAGTAGACGCACATCTGTTATTCACAACGACGCTGAACACCTGCAACGACTTCTTCAGAAACGCAATGCTCCTACCAAATCAGGAAATGCCCACGCACCGTCCGTAAGCAACAAAATTTAAAAAACAGCAAAATTCCTCACACAAAAACCACAGTAGACCCTGCCACGCCGCCATCAGCTGCGGCTGAGCGCAAGAGCTGGGGCGTTCCAGCACACCATGCAGTCCTTTCTGGTTGGGTGCTTCCACAGTGCGTTGCGCCACAGCGACGAGGCAATCGCACCGTGTCCGGCCCCCATTCACCTCCACAGCCTGGAAGTGCGGCACCGCGACAGCTGCACAGCATCGCTCGGCCCACGCGCAGCAAAGAAGGATACTTCTGTCCACCTGGCAGCCAATCCAGCACCGCTGCAGAGGAACATTGGGTTCCGCGCACCCACACAACACGAACGCCTCACACTTCTCCGATATATTGAGGACATGCGTCGCGCAATCTGATTGGAGGCCATGCCGCCGTCCATGCGTGAAAGGCGGCGACATCGATCCTGCTTCCGAGAGATGCTGTTGTTAATGAATTGCGACGCTTCTGCGGTCACATGGAGATCTCCCGGAACACATCCGCGCCCCTCATGCTGAGCACCGGATTTTCGTACGCGACACTGTGAGCTGCAACGAGGTGAGCGTCTTCTAGCCACGGCATGCCAATGACGCCCTGAACGGTGTCAGACGATCGGCCCTTGAAGCGGCCTGCGCCTCTCCGGGGCCGTATGACGCAGGCCGCTGGACGCGCGGCTTGTTGTCTCTCGCTGAGCTCGCATCTGGATCCGCTGCACTATTTTATGGCTCCACCACGACAACTGATCTCCCTGTGGAGGTACATCGTGCAGCAGCTGGCAGGCTCGCACGCTCATATAGAGCAGAGTGCCTTGCCACTGAAGATGGCATTAGACATCTCATACCTCCTCGTCTGGAAACATCCCAATCGCCCACACGAATCCTGGTGGCAACGGACTCCCCGTCGAGAATTGAGGCACTCCGCGTCGTTCCACTGGCCGCGCGAGACTACGTTACTGAAGAGATTTGGATTATGCTGCTCTCCTTGATACAGCGAGGTCGCTATGTAGAATTCATGTTTTCTCCGTCGCACTGCGGTATCCCGCGCAATGAGGCTGCTGACGACGAGGCCATGATTGCACGATCCCTCCCGCAGGAGGACAGCCCAATCTGGCACATGGACTTTTTTACTGCAGTCGGGTGACCGTACCGGAGGGATGCCCCGAAGAAAAGGAAGGGCGCGTACACCGCGTGACAGGCACCTGTCGGTGTGGCAGGACTCTATTCCTGGTTTCGATCCGGACATCGTGCCCCGAGTGGCGGCTCTGCGCAAAGGCAAGATGCGATTCCTGCCCACTCTTTGACATGCATGCGCGTGCCCTCCGTATCACAAATAACCCTCTGTGTCGGTGGTGCCGTCCCTTTCTTACTGAAGTGACCGGCCCGCCGCTGCCTCCGCCAGAATCTCTTCCCGACGTGAGCACCGCAAATCCTCGCCGACCAGCGAGCGGCGGATTGACGTTCTCCTGCCCAACCTGCAGCAGAGTGCGCTCGTCCGTCCACAATATGAGGGCACATGCCCGACGTGCTCGACCTGCCCTTCCGATAGTTTGAGAAGGCCTCGGATGCGGATGCCACAATGGCGCCAGCGTCTTCTTAACAGGCGCCTCGCGCACAGGTCGCCACAGAAAGTGCCAAGCATGCCAGCAGGCAATGCACGCAGGAAGCACAACCGCGGGTACTCGAGATGGACCACGAGAGAATTCGCTTTATCCACTGCAGAAATGCCCCCGTCGTTGGGAATTGGGAATGCGAGTGTTTGGGAGTGCCCCAGCCCGCACGACGGCACGTTTCGGACGGAATGCTCGCCACTTTTGTACGGACGGCCCTTGCGCTACCCACTCGTTATTGCAACAGCATACAACAAAAACAAGATAATAATTCGTTTTGTGATGAATATTGGCTGCACTTCCTGTGGACCAGCAATTCACGTGGTGTGCGGGGATCTCTCTGTTTTCATTGTTACATTGCTTTTGTGTTGCTGTGGGCGCTGCACCTTCTCTTGTGTGTGTGCGTACCCTCCGTGAGGGATGCAGACACGACGGACCGCTCTCGCCGTATGTGCATGCGGTGGAGCCTTGTGTGTCACTCCTGTTTGCTTCTCCCTCTTCCATCTGTGTGTTGGTGTTGCGGCAGGGCTGTGGTGTGCGGCGTACGGTGCGTGCCTGGCTGCTGCCCTCTCCTCATGTGGTGTGCCCTCTGTGTGTGTGTCTGCCGCACCTCTCGTCTCCCCTGTTGCTCTCCATGTCCCTCACTGTGCAGATCAGCTCCACACCACTGAACGACCACACTCACGATGATGATGACGTGCCGTCTGCTGTGCGCCCTGTTGGTGCTCGCTCTGTGCTGCTGCCCGTCCGTGTGCGCGGCAGGGAGTGGAGATAAACCTGATAAAGCTGGAGAAAATCCAACGCTCCAGGATTCAGTGGTTTCAAACGATTCCGACAATACACGAGCAAAAGGCACGGAACTTAATGGACAGACTTCAGATAAGGAGGCCGATTCGTCAGAGAGACCATCGAAGACCGTCTCTGCGTCACCAACTCCATCTCCGACAGGTGCAGAAGAAGAAGGATCAAGTAGGGTACCCACTTTGCAAGATGGAAGAAGTGCGTCTGGTCAGCCAGGGGTATTAGAAGAAAATATCATTTCGCCGGGATCAACAGGTGATTCCGATAAGTCAGATGTAAATAATCGGGAGCATAATAAAGAAGTGGCGCTAGCCGGTAAAGAGGTTAAGGAACAGGCACCAAACACGACAACCACAACAACCACAACTACAACAACGACCACCACCACTGCGCCAGAGGCACCAAGTGATACGGCCATGAATGCAGAGGCGCCAACCACGACGACTTCCCACGCACCGTCACGTCTTCGCGCAATCGACGGCAGCCTCAGTAGCTCTGCGTGGGTGTGTGCCCCGCTGCTGCTCGCCGCATCCGCGCTGGCGTACGCCACTCTGGGCTGAAGAGGTGTGTGTGCGGGCTGTGCGTCCAGCACTCAGCCACGGGAATTCGTTTACGTCTATTGTGGTCCGATGTATATAATAATAGAAAGTATTGATTGTGTTTTGCTTCACTTGCTTCCGCTGCCCTGCTGTCTTTACCGCGTTGTGCTGCTCCCTGTATCCGTCACGTTGAACGTATCCCAGACACACTCATATGCACTGCACGCATACAACTGTTTGCATGGACGCACGTCCGTGTGTGGGTGCATGCACACAGGATCCATTTGGTGCAGCTGTTTGTTTTTTGTGTTTTTACTTGTTTTTACTTTATTGCTGTTTGTTTACTGTTTTTTGCTTTTAATTGCTTCTTGTGTGTTTTCTTGCTGATCAATTATTGCAGGGCTGTGTGTATTGTTTTTGTTCTTTCACTGATTCCAACTGCCTCATGGTTTGTTGCTGCTGCTGCTGCTGGGCTGCTGCCGTTTGTCACTGTCCTGTGCGGTGGTTGTGTGACTTTCTCCTTTTCCTTTTCCTTTCACTCTGCGTTGACGTGTTGTTAGTTTGTGCTGAAGGCTGCACGCAAGTGACAGGAGTGACGGCGATGATGATGACTGGCCGTGTGCTGCTGGTGTGTGCCCTCTGCGTGCTGTGGTGCGGCGCCGGCGGTGGCTACGCGTGGCCGTACAAGGAATGTAAAAGCGATAATGAATCGTGCCTTAATGACGGTCAGCACAAGAGTGTATATAACAGTTCAATTCTATCTCGGTTTTTGGGTGAGACGGATTCGACATCTACGGGATTGCTTGGTTCTTCCACTGGTTCGACTGGAAGTGGCGGTGACGTCTCACGAAATGGCGCAGGCGGAACCACGATCTCCGCAACAGATTCACAGAAAGGAGGTGCTCAGTCCTCTTTGACTCCATCCCAACATGCGTCAGCCTCTCCTGGCGACTCTTCTCGATCCAAAGAATCCTCTGAGAAAACTGAAGAGACTCCTGGTCCTGCCTCAACCTCCGACAATGATGGCGATGGAGGCCCGAACACAGCCAATCAAGCCCATTTGACTGGTGGTGAGAAACGTGACAGCGGCCATCAAACCGAAGACGGAGACACGGACCCCAATTTGCCCCTTGAAGATTCGAAGGACGGTGAAGACACCCACAGCTCTCCCACGCCACCTCCAGCCAATAAAGCAAATGTACCCAACGTAACAGCAGAAGGAGAAAAGGTACCGGCGGTGTTGACAAGACAAGAAGAATCGGAAGGAAATCCAGAAGCAGAACCAGAGAATGAACAGCACAGCTCTGCGAATGGCGTGTCAGTGCCGCAGCCAGAAGCAGCACAACAAGGCGAAACTGAGGATGATAATACGACGGAAAAAACACCAGACGAGGCCGCAGCTCCGAAAAATGGCACAGCGACGCTTGACGACAGTGACGGCAACACCGCGGTCTCCCACACCGCCTCCCCTCTTCTTCTTGTTGTTGCGTGTGCGGCTGCGGCTGCGGTGGTGGCCGCGTGAGAGTGAGTGCGGGAGAGCCGTGCACCGCCCGCACACACACGCGTCCTTCTCTCTCTGTGTGTGTGTCCCCTTGCATGGACTCTCGCCCTCACCTCACCCCACGAGGCACACACAATAATGTGCCCATTGTATATATGCATGCACACCCATGCAGGCCCGTTGGTGCTCTCTTTTGCACGACACGCACCGCTGCCGTCCTGCCTGGCTGCATGGGCGGAGCACCGTAACTGTTTTTGTTTTTTGTCCTCTTATGATTGTTTTAAGTGTTTTCAATTTTTCTTTGCTGTTTGCTTTAAAATATTTTAAATGTTTTTTTCGTTTTTTCTGGTTTTGCGAGTGTTTTTGTTTAATTTTTTTGTTTTTGTTGTGTGTTTTTTATTCAAAAATCTTTATTGCTTTTTTTTTTACTTTTAATTATTCTTTTCTCTCATTTCTTCTTTTTTTTTGCTTTTGGGGCAATCACTATGGACGTTTTTTTTCTTTTCTACTCTTCCCTCTTTAATTGTTTGTTGCTGCACTCTTCCTGTGAGGGGTGCCGTGTGTTTCCCGCCCAACTGCTCCACTCGCACACCCACCGACACGCTCATGACGACGGCCCTGTGCGCCTCGCCTGCTGCACGCATGAGGAGGGCCGCGACGAACGGCGCGCTGAGGGAGCCGTGACGCGTGGGCGTGCGACGAGGGCCTGTGGGGCGGAGCACACATTTCTTCCCTCTTGTTTTGTTTTCGTTGCGGCGAGGGCGGGCAGACACCCGCAGCGCCACACACACAGCCACACCCTGCCGCCGTGTTTTTCTTTAAGGATTTGTTTTGCTTTGCGTGTTTATTTCATGCGGTGGCGCACCCTTCGGTGTCGGCCTCGTGAGCATTTCTCTCCCCTCCGATGATTTCTTTTTCTTTTGCTGCGCTCACTCTCCCGATGGAGTGACGCGACTGCCGTCATGTCTGCGTGCTTCTCTCAGTCCCCACACACACGAGTGACTGTGCTCTGCGGGCCGCACTCACGCGCCGATGAGAGGGCTGAGGGGAGCAGCAACACGCAGATGACCCCATGGAATATAAACGATGTGCGGACACACGGAGGGTCGGACGGTTGAAGCACACGCAACCATCTTTTTAATTTTCTTTTGCGGGCAAAATACATACGGACAGTTTGGTGTGGCCACACGGCAGCCAGGCGATTTTTTTCTTATTTTAAATTTGTGTGGAGCAGTAATGGACGGTTTCTTTTCATTTATAATTATTTTGTGTGGTGGGGTTTACGTAAGACGAAGGGGGACGTTTTTTTTGTTTTCAATAAATATTGTGTGAATTGCCGCTGCTTGGGCTGCAGTGCAGTCATGAGTTTGAGCGGTCTTCTTCTTGTTGTTTCCGTTATGCGTCCCCGCTGTACAATTTTGTGCGTCCCTCCACATACTCTGCTCCCTTTTTTCCACTTCTTTGCTTTGTGTTGTTGCAGGCACACACAACCGCACACACACAAGATGCACATTGCAGTGGATTTGAATGCACCTTTTGTAGTGCATGCTGGCAGTTGCGTGTGGCGGCTGTTGTCTTCCTCCGTGGCCATGAGGAGGGGAGAGAGGGAGCGCACCCCGAGACTATTTTTCTGTGGGTGTGATGCGCCGCGTGTGACTGCGTTGAGTTGGGCTCCGTGTCCCATTGATGGCGGGATGGCAGGAAATTTTGTGCCGCGTGATGGATGGATGAGGGTTCGCTTGCTCCGTGTGCGTTCTGTGGTGGCCGCGGGTTTTGCCATTTCCCGTTGACTGCGGGAATGAGCTGGGGGAGATGTTGGTGGATGTCTTCTCCTCCTGCATGGTGGGTGGCTGCTGGCGTTGTGTGCCTCCTTGCGTGGATGCCGTCTCGTGGTGTGTGAACTGTGCGGCTGGGCCTGCTGCCCTCTCCTCATGTTGTCTGCGCTCCCTCGCTGTATCCGCTGTGCCCCGTCCCTCTCCCTCTCGTTCCATTCTTTTCCTTCCGTCTCACCGATCAGCTGACTGACACCAGCGACTCCACTACGGGCGATGATGACTGCGATGGTGACGGTGTGCGGCGCCGTGTTTTTCCTTGCGCTCTTGTGCTGCTGCTGCTTGTCCGTGTGCGTGACGGCGACAGGAGACGATAATAACGGTAACAGCCGTCCTCCCAGCCCTGAGCTAGGGAAACCGGATCCTACAAAAATATGCCTGGTGCATTACAGCCATATGGTGGGGAGACCGGTGTGCCACAGACAGAGAGTGGGAGAGACAGCGAGGAGGGTTTGAGAAGTCCAGGACCTTCGTTGCCAAAGGAAGCAGGCACAGCCATCACTGGACAGACACGAGTTCCGCCAGAGTCACTGAGTTCGGCTAGCGATAATCCAGAGCCACGAGGTTTGGCAACTCAGTCTCCACACACACACAAGGTGCGACCGGTATGTCAGATGCACAAAATAAAGGCGCAGTAAAATAAACGAGGCGATGAGAATCATAAGGCACCGACATTAAATCAGAAGATCAAAATGCCAAATAGTACCAACAATAAGACTACAACAACGCTCTGGGTCAGCCGTCCGCCTCAACGTGGTGCCAGCGTGCAGTACTCTTTGCTAGAGAGGAATCTAAGCGCCTCCTGCCCATCCGCCGCCCGCGGAGAGGTGACAGACGCCGCACAAGCGGGTCGGAAGGGCACCAGATGGAGCCATTTACATGGTTGTCTGCTGAGCGGTATTTCTATCCGCTGCTGAATTCCATCGGCGCTTATCGGCGCTATACATACCGTTTGCGTGCCGTATGTGGCGCGCAACGACAAAAGCTACTGCTAAGCGGAGACGTTGAGCAGCACCCAGGCCCCATAGCAGTACTCCAGATGAACGTTTCTTGCCTCACGGCGTCAAAACTCGCAACATTAATGGCGCAAGGAGCAGACATAATAGCCATCCAGGAGACTTGGAAGTCGTCGGAGCAGATCGCCAGCATGCACACTGGAGATTATGTGCTCTATGCACAGTCGCGCATCGGCAAGGGAGGCGGTGTGGCGGTGCTGGTGCGGAAAACTCTCCGCTCCAAGCGTATACCTCTCACCATCCCCCAGCATGACACCAGCCTTGAAGTGGTGGTGGTCCAGGCTGCTCTGGACCAGAACCGTGATCTTATTGTTGCGAGTGCCTATATGAGACCACCACCGCAAGTAACGCAATCCTTCAGGCGGTTACTAAACTGCCTTCCAGCCTCGTCGCCGCTCCTGCTGTGCGGGGATTTCAACATGCATCACCCACAGTGGGAGCCATTCTTGGAGACTTCTCCAAGCGAGGTTGCTGCAGAATTTTTAGAACTGTGCACGGATGCGGGACTCACCTTGGTTAACACCCCTGGTGAGATCACGTACGCCCGTGGCACAAGAGAACGATCCTGTATCGATCTGACATGGTCAAAGCATTTGACTGTGTCGGATTGGTCAGCTTCCGTGTCGCCGCTTAGTGATCATTATATGCTGACATTTACGCTGCATCAGGCATTTAAGGATACCATACCTTCGGCACCTAAGTTTTTCTACAGTTGGGGGAAATGCAAATGGGATTTATTCATCAAGGACTTCGACGCACAACTTCCGGCATACGACTATAGAAAGCAGTCCACCGGCATTAAAGCTTTCACGAGAGCGCTTATAACTTCGTATCGACGACATTGCCCCGCGGCATGCACAAGGACGGTCCCAGGCTTTGGGACGACACTCTCATGGAGGCAGAGCGGATGGCTACCGACAGCAAGGCCCGCTATCTACAGTTACCGACGCCCGACCGTGAGGCAGAAATGCAACGGACAAGGAGTCAATTCTTCCTCCTACTCCGAGAGCGCTTGCGCAACACGTATCCACGTCGCATCAGCAAGTTAAATCCAGGCGAGCCACTCGCATGGAAATACATTTCCGGACGAAAAAAGGCATCACTTCCATCTCCCACATCAATGTTATTGGGAGGTGGCCAACACACTTATAAAACAGCAAGGAGAGCAGCGAATGCTCTCAATCGCATCTTTTTTCCATTTCACCCCTCTCAAAGAGCGGTCGGGTTTTCCAAAGGCATCAACAGACGGAGTACGTCTTTGAGCATTATTTCTTCTTCTATTTTTGGACCGCAGAACAGCAACGAGTTGATCTCTACATTTACATCAGGGGTTTTCTTACTGCCCTATTGATGCACCTTTTAATTCTACGGAACTGCTTGCTGCGCTACGTAACACGCCGTATGGCAAGGCCCCGGACCGGATGAAGTCTGCAGTGAGGCACTGCGACATATTTCGTCAAAGGGCCTTCGATTCCTTCTTCGCTGCATTAGCCACAGTTGGACGACCGGTACGATTCCGGCTGAGTGGAGACGCGCCACCATCGTTCCACTATTAAAACCCGGTAAGTCGCCGGAACTGCTTGAGTCATATCGACCCATCAGCCTTACTTCCATTGTGAGTAAGGTTGCCGAGAAAATGGTACTGAAGAGATTGCTTTGGGTGTGGACGCCGCACCCCCACCAGTATGCATATCGTAGTATGCGTACCACGACGATGCAGCTGGCACACCTGATACACGAAGTGGAGCATAATAGAAATCACTATTTCCAAGTGAGCCTTCCCAAGAAGAGCGGTATTGGCAATCAACTCCACTACAGACCCCATCGGACCCTGCTGGTGTTGGTTGATTTCAGCAGGGCCTTTGACTCCATAGATCATCGAGTCCTCAGTCGCCTGCTGGCTCATATTCCGGGGGTGAATTGTAGAGGTGGCTTAGAAACTTTCTATGTGGTCGCTACGCGAAGACACGAGTTGGCCACAGACACAGCGATCGGCGTCCCATGCTGCGAGGAGTTCCTCAGGGGTCCGTGCTGGGACCGTATTTGTTCTCCCTTTACGCACACCCACTTCTCAGTCTGCTGAACAGCTTTGCGGGTGTCACAGCAGACATGTATGCGGGCGACCTCTCTATTATCGTTAGGGGGCAGTCCCGGGAAGACGCCATTCCCACTGCCAACATGGTTCTTGGAAAACTGCATGCGTGGAGTCAGGAAAATGGCCTGGCCATTAACCCGTCAATGCGTGAAGCTGCTTGGTTCACACTCTCCACGCACACGGAGTCAGATTATGATCGTGAAGGAAGGTGGCCCCTGGTAGTGGCTGGATGTCAAATCCCAGTCATGACCATGGGGGCATCGCGAACTACGAAGCCTCTCGGCATGGATCTCGATCCGCGACTGACGCTAAATGTGGCGGCCTCCAAGCAATGCGCTGCCACTTCGCAACGGATATCGCAGCCACGCTGCATAGCGCACAAAGAGGCGGGGCCATCTCCACATGACCTACGCACGTTCGTCATTGGATACGGTGCTTCCAAATTACGCTATGGCAGCGAGCTCATATGGGCAGTAGCGACGGATTCAGCGAAGAATGAGATGCAGAAGACGTACGCAACTCTGGCACGCATTGTCAGCGGAGTTCCGAGCACTGCCGACCCGGAATCCGCACTACTGGAGGCTAATATGCCGCCGCTCCACGTCCTCTGCCTGCGCGCGCGGCTCTCCATATTTGAGAACACACGCGCATTTCAGATGGACTGGATGCGGAGACCCCCGCCTGAGCCACCGCCTCGCGCTGGTTTCCGCATCTCGCCATTATCTCGGGACGAGCTATATGCCTTCGTAGACGTATACACAAAGGACTACGGCATCACCGAGAGCTCACCACGCGAAGAGCGGTTCTTTCGCAGCTCCATTCCTCCCTGGTTTGCGGCCTCCGCTCACCGGGTCACCATCGGTGTGGAACTTCCGATAGACCTCTCAATAACTGACGAGGAAGAGCTGATAAGGGAAAAGCGCAGGGTCAGCGAAGAGGCTCTAGCGCTGCACAGCCATCGTTCGTGGATACTTGCGACCGGTGGCGGTGTCGACGTTCCCAAGTCAGCAGGGGTTGGAATACTGCTTTCATCCCTCAACACATCGGAGATAATAGAAAAGGCCAGTATAAACTGCGGTGCACGCCCATGCAGCTACAGGACGGAATCCCGTGCGCTGCTTCTAGCCCTGGAGGAGCTGATGATTCCTCGTATCCGCTACAGGCGTAAAACCCTGCTTGTGGTTACGGACAGTCAGTCTCTTCTAGCGGCTCTAAACAAGGGCCCGCTCAGTCAGACAGACTGGACGGAGGATCAGATCTGGCAGCGTCTCTTAACACTGACGCGTGCTGGCTGGTCCGTGCACCTGCAGTTTTGTTACGGACATTGCGGAGTACATGCCAACGAGCCTGCAGATCAGCATGCGACGCAGACTATGGAAAGTGGACAATACACGGAGCACGGAATCGCACCTTTATGGCATACGGATCTGCTGACATGTTTTAATACCCAGCTCACCAACAAGTGGCGTAGTACCATTCGTCAAGACACTCATCGCTACTTGCTTTGCGGCACAAGGCCATCCGATCTCAGCGGTAAGGACCTGATCACTCAGGAAGTTCTACATCGTCAGGAACTGGTTCACCTCGCAAGGGCAAGGTGCGGGGAATCTGAGCTCTGGGGCCGACTATACTGGGCTGAGAAGATTGCACGAACCAATGCCGTTTCTGCAACATCTCACCGGAACAGTCTGCATATATGCGCTCTAACAAAGATCCAACTGCACCGGGGACGGACACTGTTCCCCTGCCGGCAAGGGATGAAGACGTCTCTCCAGTAAGGAGACGGACCGTCACACGCCGTCGGAAGGAGAAATGTCCGCACTGTGATTCTACATTGACGGGATTCTCGGGTCTCGTCAGTCACTGTCGGTCATTTCGTCCGGAACATCCTCCACCGCTTCCCGAGCTCAAATGTGATTTCTGTGACATGGTCTTCCCCACACGGAGAAGCACCGCACAGAAATCGCTGCGCACACAACCCAGACGCCACACGGCATCGGAACAGCAGTGCCAGGCGGCGATCTCTGCTGCCGCAGGATCAGCCAGCTTCCACAAGCACGCCAATTGGCCCGCAGGAAACCTTGCACCATCTGCTTCTAGAATGTCCAAGCGCCTTGGCTGTGCGCCGACGGCTGGGCATTGAACAGGACCTTCGCCTCGGAAAGTTCTCTCAATGGCAGTTGCTTCATAGCAGGAAACTCATTTTGCTGCTCGACCACCTCTTCGGCACTCAGATGGCATTGTATAGCTAGACGCGCTGGTAAGAGTAGGAAAAAATATAATGACCTCATGACGTCCAATACCACCGATGTGTACGGGCGATGGGACTGTATCCATGGTCCTTGAGCACACGCCCCCGCCACTAAGGAGCCCACAAACAGCGGTGCGTGCAGCAGAGACACACAGATCACATCTTCTTTAAACAAAAAGATCAAAGAGAGTGGAGACGTCTAGTTTGAAGGTGACTTGTCTTTGCCGACGGTGAGCAGTGGCGAATGTATCACCTCGTGTGTAGACACACCACTGCTGCTTCTGCCTTTGGGACTGTGTGTGGTTGTGGCAGTGTTCTGAGCCACGGAGTGTGGAGTTGCGACTTCTCACGGAGAATATGTGCCGCGTTCCCTGCGGGCTTTCTTTTTTTGATGTTCTTTTTAATGTTGTTTACATGGAACGATGGGAGTGCCTTTTTCTTTTGTTTTACTTAATGGTCGGTTGCTGCGCACCGTCATGAGCGAATTGTTTTCCCTCTTGATTGCTTCTGTTGCCCACACGCGGTACAGGCACCACGGCTGTGCGTTCCACGGACGACACAAAAGGAGGAGTGGAGAGACAGGCCGGATGCCGCATGAAATGTGTGGGATGTTGTGTGGGCTTGTGGAACAGTAATAATTTTTTCCTTGTGCAGGTACTGTACGCATGTACATATAAACACAGTCCTGCATTGCTGCATGGCGTAAGAAATGATGATTCTGCTGAAGTGTATTTTTTTTTTTTGGAGGAGACTCCCGTTGGGCACCCAACTACACTTTTTGTTTTGGTATCGCTTTTTTACTTCTGGTGTGCAGGTCAGTGTGCGTTCCTCTGCAGGGCTGCTGCCGTTGTTTACGGTGCGTGTTATTTTGTGATTTGTCTTTCCTTTTCTTTTGCTTTCACTCTCTGTTGACGTGTTGTTAGTTTGTGCTGAAGGCTGCACGCAAGTGACAGGAGTGATGGCGATGACGATGACTGGCCGTGTGCTGCTGCTGTGTGCCCTCTGCGTGCTGTGGTGCGGTGCCGGCGGTAGATGTGACGTGGAGGTGGTACGTGTTGCCGATTCACCTGCTAATTCTGAGAGTGGTTCTGTGGCTCCTGACAAAGACACCGATCATACGGTGCATGGTGGAGCAGGAGTCGTTTCAGGAGAGCAGTCACAGAAGCAAAAGGTTGGGGGTCATCCACTCGTGGCTCCGCAATTGCAGGCAGTTTTACAGCCTGAATCAACAGTGCAGCAGACACTCTTCGACACCGAGCCTACGGATTCACTGTCACATTCACAATCATTGCAAGAAGAGCGGCAAGGTGGATCACCCGATGGTTCTTCAGGGAGACCGGCGGCTTCTCACAGTCAAGAGGACAGGAAGAATGAATCAATTGGAGATCAACAGAGAAAAGATCCGCCATCTCCTGCAATTAACAACGATGTTGTCAGCCGCAAGAGTGAGGAGCTCACAGAAGATACTCCGAGGAGAACTGAAATTATTGATGCCGCACATTCAGAAGAGAGGCAGGAGCCTGAAAATGTCACTCCTTCTTTGGAACAAACTCGGGAAACTTCCACAGCCGCACCGGCCATTACCACTCAAACAATTTCCATGCAGCCGCCCGAGGAAAATGCGAGCAGCACCGTCAAAATGAGTGATGCATCACCCCAACCAACAGGGACCGCCAACACAAATCATACGACGACACCTGGCGACAGTGACGGCAGCACCGCGGTCTCCCACACCACCTCCCCTCCTTTGCTTCTTCTTGTTTTTGTTGCGTGTGCGGCTGCTGCGGTGGTGGCCGCGTGAGAGTGAGGGAGAGAGAGCCACGCACCGCCCGCACACACACTCGTCCTTCACTCTCTCTGTGTGTGTGTCCCCTTGCATGGACTCTCGCCCTCACCTCACCCCACGAGGCACACACATAATGTGCCCATTGTATATATGCATGCACACCCATGCAGGCCCGTTGGTGCTCTCTTTTGCACGACACGCACCGCTGCCGTCCTGCCTGGCTGCATGGGCGGAGCACCGTAACTGTTTCTGTTTTGTTTTTATTGCATTGAGTGGGCGACCTCTCTCTCTCTCCCTCTGTGTGTGTGTTTTGCTTTACGGGAGCAGTGAGAGTGTGTGCGCTGGTCGTCCCACGCTTCGGCTTTTTGTTTTGTTTTACTTGTGTTGTGGTTGAGTGCACGAATTAATATTTTTTTGTGGATTATTGGGTTGCTTTGACTGCGGACGCTTGAATTTTTGTTTTTATTTTTATATTGTTTTGTTTTTGTTGAGGAAGTGCCAGCCTCTTGTATTCTTGTAAAGCCATTAAGATTTTCTTTGGCTTATGGCATGCGTCCGTTGATCCACGTTAACCCCACGGTCTGCATCGCTACCGCTGCTTCTTCTGTTTGTGATGATCTCCCCGATGTGGTTTGTCAGCGGTTGCTTTGTTGTCTCCCTGAAGTATTCCTGATTTTTTGACGATGTGTTCTTCTCCGACGGCGAGGTCGATCCCGGTTACGGTGAGGAAAATGCATCTCAGGGCGCTGGATGCGTTGCAGGTGTGGAGCTTCGTTTGGAGTAAACGATGGGTGACCGTCCGCATTAAGGTTCCATCAACGGACCCGTGTGACTGCAGGAGTCACTGCGGCTTCTCCCGGTGTCACGCAATGAATTCATTGAATGAAAATCGCCACTGTAAGAATGGTGTTTTGACCTCTGCGCACGAGAACGCTCTTGCCGAGGAGGGTGTCCCTGCTGCTGTCCAACTGCACGCGGATCGTCTGCTCGTGCAGCCACTGGAGTGTCCGTTGATTGTGCCCCCATTTGCCACGGGCAGTATTTGCAGTTGGTTCACGGTGCGTGCTGGGCATTGTTACACTGGTGTTTTCAATGCTGTCATGGTGCTGTACGTGGCTGCGGCGTTTGGCGGTGTGTGGGTACTGCCGTGCGCCACGCTGGAGGATGGCCGTCCCGTCGCTGGTGCCATTCACATTGCCCGGCGTTTTTATTTCACGGATGCATCGCCACCCGCATCGCCGCGCACCTGGTGGCCATGCTGTCGGGTTCACCTGCCCGCACATGGCAGACCCCAGCATGACGATGAACGTTGCCTGTGTGCGTGGCGGGGCGCTGTCGGTGGTGGTGGACTCGACGAATGCCGCGATGGCAGCGAGGGAGCACCACGACCGCGACGACATTGATGCCAGACGTTGCGCGTCATACCGGTATTCCCGCGGTTGGTAATTGGGGAGTATCCATGAAGGGTCAGCAAAACGCTCGATGGACAGTTGCCCCATCACTGATCCCGCACTGGATGTGAGGAATGCTGAGGCTGCTATTTGGAGGGAAGAATATTTTTCTGCGATGCCTGGGGACAAGCCCTCTTCGTGGTGTCTGGACACGCCTCCCACCAACACGACGGATGCGAGGGACCCGGAAGAAACATACATCTCCGTGCTGTCATGCATTTGGCATTGCGGTGCCTCGGCATGCGTGTGCATCTGAGAGTGACTGAAGAGGGTAACGCCTGTTGTGCCCCATGCACGGCCGAGGCGATGATTACGTGGGTTGCTCTGCCCTACGACGAGGGAAAAGCTATTTTCCGTGACCACGCGCAGGTGTGCACGATATCCGCCACCAGCGGCAGCCTCCTTCCAGTGTTTCCGTGGGACGGCGAGGAGAGGGCGTGTGGAGCAGGACGGTCTCACCGGCAGCTACTGAACAAGGATTGCCACGGGCATCCGTCCCCGTTGCGGAGAGCATCGATACCGGCCGTGGCACCTCACCGAAGGACGTAGACGCGGCTGCTCCCCAGAAGAATCCGTTGACAGAGGAGAAGTGGATCCGGCCAGGACGCCCCGACAGACCGCAAGAAGCTTCTCTCGGTGGCAGGGACCGAAGCAGCGAGAAGGACGGCAAGTAGGACACGCGTCCGACTCCCGGTGATGACACTGTTGCTGCTGCTTGTCCCTGTCCGCTGCTTCTTCTGCTTGCCTCTACTGCCGCCGTGGCAACACTCTATGGAATTGCGGTGTGGACGGCGTTGCGCTGCGAGGCGACTGCGCTTCCTCCTGCGTGGCCCGCACTCAGCATTGGATTTCCAATAGAAAAACATCTATTTCAATGGGTGCCGTTCTCCATATGCATGTGCTGTATGGGCTCCGTTTGACTTTTTATTTGAGATTGGTTGTATTTCCGATGCACATAGTTCCTCCCGTGTTGGTTGCCGATGTGGGCCACCATATGGTGGTATGGCATTGCTTGTGTGTTTGTTAGATTTTCTGAAACGCATATACACACACCGGTGCGAGTGGAATGTGCACACACAAGACAAACACACACACACATATCCAAGCACATTGTCTGTGTGAATTGTACTTGACATATTATGCGGGCGGATTGGTGCGGTCAAGGCCGACGGAGGCGGGGCAGCCGCGTGAGCCCAGCAATGGCGTTTGTGGTTGTGTGCAGGATCATATATTCCATCAGATGCTTGACGCCGTTCATGGATCGTTTAAAGTTTTTTCTGCGATGCCCATGCTGCGTCTGCGCTGAGCTGCTCACTGCGTCTTCATGATCTCATGGAGCACGGCGTGACACTGCTTGAGGACCCCATGACGCCGCGGCAGCCGATTATGAGTAGCCCTGCGCGCTACTTTTTTGCTGTGGAGGATGCGTCTGTGAGCCGCGTGGTTGAGGATTGGATGGCAAAGGTCCCGTACAGGGATGCACACATCTTTGCGCTCGGGTACACCCCGCATCGCAGTCCTCAGCAACTGGTGTGGGTTCGGATAGCGCCGAGGGCGATGCGTTCCAAGGTCATTATGTTAGACTTCACCGCCCCTGAGGTGCTGGTTTTCCACCTCAGCATGCAGAATGGGTTCCCTCAGCTGCTGTCGCCGCTGTCGCCTCCGAATTGAGAGTCCGTTGTGGATGTTGTGGCGTCACGTCCTGTGGCGGCTATTCACGCCATGAACAACGGTGTGCCTGTTATTCGCTACCAAAGCAGAAGCAGCATCTGCCATGGGTTTGCTAGGAATTTCTTTGAGAGGCTTGCCAAGCTCTGCTACGACGAGCCGGATTTCACTTAGGGGCGCCGACAGCCGCGGCAACCCGGTGCGGATCATCGTTGATTGGGGCTGTGTCACGGTGACGCCGCTGATGCAACAACGCACATGTCGGTGTCTGCTTGATGACCTGATGCCGCTGGAGAATAACTTGTATGAGCAGACCCGTAGGAATCGTCTGGGTGTGGACTCGAAGCGGCAGCAATTGGTGGATGAGGAAGATGTGTACTGGCGCTCCTACCGTCATTGTTTTCTTGCGCAGTGCGTGGAGGAGCTTTCGGTGGCGCTGAAAAACCTCCACGCGTATCACCCGGGATTGGCGCATGGCGTGGAGCCGAAGGCCAATCTTGCGGAGTTGAGCAGTGCGGTGCGGTCTCCGCCGGAGTTTCGGGAAAGGCAAGCCAGACTGTCGCTGCACATCGATTTTTTGCGCGAAGCTTGTGGCACAGTACCGGGAGAAGCGACTGGCGGAGGTGTGGGAGGTGGAACAAGACATCGCCGTTGGGCACAAACCCCTCAGGAAAAACCTGGATGGCGTGCGGCGACTGGCGAGGGATGCGGCGATGCCCCGGCCAGTGCGACTGCGTCTTCTGTTGCTTGTGGCTGCGAGCAGCACCGACGAGTTGACGGAGGCCAAGAAGCAGCAGCTGATCCGAGACGGTGGACTGACGCCCGACGGCCATTTGTTTGCGAAACTTGAGCATGTGACGAGGAAGGCCGGGAGCGTGCAACGATACAGCACGGCGTCGGCGCAGAGCAGACGGAGCACGAGTGCCTCTGCGAGCAACGCTGCGACGGACGAGGATCCGTTTCTGAAGCATGCCCGTATGATGATGGAGACGGCGGACAGGAAGAGGTCGCTGCGGGTTGAGCTGTCGTTGACATCGATGGAGCGCGATCATGCGATGAGGCCAAATGGCGCGAGTGGTGGCCATAACAGTGGACCAGCAGGAAAAAACGCCGGGCCATTTCAAGGGTGTGGTGGCAAATGGGAGAATCTTCCTGATCTGGGTGGCGGTGGTTGTGGTGGGATGATTGCCCTCACAACTCCTCAGCGCATTGTGCTGCTTGTTTTGTGTGGTGTGGCCTGCAGCGAGAGGCGCTCAGTCCATGAGATATCCAAAAGGTATGGCCGTGAGGTGGTCATTGGGGAGCCTCGCTGCCGCGTCCTGAGGTGTGTTTGTGCAGGGACTTGGCACCCTACGGCACTGTGACTCACGGGCGAGACACGCACAGGAATGCATCGAGGGCCAAAGAGTGGGAAGTATACAAACACACACGACTGAGTGTGTCCATTGGGATTGTGTGCGCTTCTTCCTGCATTCAGTTCCTCTCCAAGAAGTGTTCCATACGATGCGCGTGTGTGTGTTTAAACGGCCGCGCTGCTCACCTTTTGCTTTTTTTCTTTTGCGTGTGCGGTTGCGGGCCATTTCTTTGCTACGATGAAGGCGGTTAAAAAAGGAAGGAAATTTGTGGAGCATGCACCCACGGCTTCAGTGTTCATCCACTGGTGCCGACTTTTTTTGACAGGGCATTTGTGCACGCTTTTCCCTCCAATGTTTATTTTTTTTTTTACACAGGAGGCAACGGGTGGGCATTCGTGAGTGCTGCGGCGGGCTTTTGTTGCCCTCGCCGGGACGCGCTTAACGGCGGCAGCTCCATGACTTTGTGCACAAAAGGAATGGGACTTTCTCCGGATTTTCACCGCAGGCGCATGCCATGGACGGCCGAAAAAGAGTGTGTGCCCGGTGTTGTTCATAGCTCCAAGGAAAAGATGGTGTTGGATGGCGCACAACGAGTGGATGTGGATTGTGTTGACCGTGCATCGCAGGTGTATCCGCTGGAGGCATTGTGGGCTGCCGTGGCCAGTTACGAGTACAATACATTTAGACAGAAGAACATTTTAAATTGGTCTCTCAGGCGGAATCAATGTACTTAGGCAATGGGTTTACCGCGAGGATTGGCAGGAGGGGACGCACGACGAGGACGCCACTCGCACCGCCATTCATTTCCGTCGCCACGGCAGCAACACAGCCTCATGAGACTACACTCCTTGCGGATTTTCCGGGGTGGCATGCACTGTTCTGTTTGGCGTCTTTGTTTCCCCATCCCGAGCGTCGGTGCAGACTCCCTCGTCGATGCAAGTTCCTATCGATTGCGGACACACCCATTGATTGATGCGGCCGACACCCAGCCCATTGCTGGTGCTTCTGGCATGACTGCCGCACCGCCCCAGCAGCTGGTGCAGTGGAACTGGGGACGAGAACACGGCAGAACAAGTTCAATCGGATGGTGCTGGCAGCCCTGTCAGCGTCTCGCCGACCCCAGCGACCTATCCACACCACCAGCGAGCACAGAAATCGACGGGACAGGGAAGGCATCAACGGACTGTCAGGACACCAGTTGTCTTTCCACATCACTCTCAGTCAAGAAACCGGAAGAATTCACAACAACATCATTCACCAGCAATGAGAAAGGAACAACGACCACCGCCGACAGCGACAGTAGCACCGCGGTCTTCTACACACCACCTCCCCTCTTTTGCGTCTTATTTTCACGTTTGCGTGCTGCTGCTGCTGCAGTGGTGCCCAGGCCTGCATGAAGTGGTGTGCGCTGAATATGAACGAATGCCTAAGAAAAATAAATTGTTTTTGTGATGAATATTGGCGTCACTTCCCGTAGACCAACAATCCAAGTGGTGTGCGGGGATCATTCCTTTTTTATTGTTACTTTGCTTTTTTGTTGCTGTGTGCGCTGCACCTCCTTGTGTGTGTGCGTACCCTCCGTGAGGGGTGCCGACACGACGGACCGCTCTCGCCGTATGTGCATGCGGTGGAGCCTTGTGTGTCACTCCTGTTTGCTTCTCCCTCCTCCATCTGTGTGTTGGTGTTGCGGCAGGGCTGTGGTGTGTGTGTGCCTGCTGCCGTGGATTGGAGTGTGTGTCGTGCGTGGTGTGCGGCGTACGGTGCATGCCTGGCTGCTGCCCTCTCCCCATGTGGTGTGCCCTCTGTGTGTGTCTGCCGCACCTCTCGTCTCCCCTGTTGCTCTCCATGTCCCTCACTGTGCAGATCAGCTCCACACCACTGAACGACCACACTCACGATGATGATGACGTGCCGTCTGCTGTGCGCCCTTTTGATACTCGCCCTGTGCTGCTGCCCGTCCGTATGTGTGAAGACGGCTGTCTTGGAAGGAGGTAAACGCAGTAAGGACTCCGATGCACCAGAAAATATAAGTGGGGAAAACGGTCGGCAAAATGGAAAGGATGGGAGCCCAGAACTGAAGAGCAAAGAGTCAGAGGATGAAAGTGCGAGCGGTACGCAACTCAAAGAAGCTAGGTCCACCGATGGGACGTCCAAGAGTGATCGTGCGTCCGATGAGCCAGGGAAAACAAGCACTGTGGATCAATCCGCAAAAAAACCAAAATTGGAGGATCCTGTGGAAAAAACGACGACCACCACAACGAATACAACTACAACAATGGCACCAACTACGACGACCACCACTACAAAAGTGCCAATTACGTCCACTACTGTGCCTGAGGCACCAAATACCACAAATACAGAGGCGCCAACCACGACGACGACCACCCGCGCACCGTCACGTCTTCGCGAAATCGACGGCAGCCTCAGCAGCTCTGCGTGGGTGTGTGCCCCGCTGCTGCTCGCCGCATCCGCGCTGGCGTACACCGCTCTGGGCTGAAGAATTGTGCGGGGGCTGTGCGTGCCAGCACTCAGCCACGTGGTTTTTTGCGCGTCTGTTGTGGTCCGATGTACTTTATAAGAGAAAATAATGATTATGTTTTGCTTTACTTGCTTCCGCTGCTCTGCTGCGTGGTCCATGTTGCTGCTCCAAATCCGTCACGTTGAACGCATCGCAGACACACTCATATGCACGACACGCCCAAAACTGTTTGCATGGACGCACGTCCGTGTGTGGGTGCATGCACACAGGATCCATTTGGTGCAGCTGTTTGTTTTTTGTGTTTTTACTTGTTTTTACTTTATTGCTGTTTGTTTACTGTTTTTTGCTTTTAATTGCTTCTTGTGTGTTTTCTTGCTGATCAATTATTGCAGGGCTGTGTGTATTGTTTTTGTTCTTTCACTGATTCCAACTGCCTCATGGTTTGTTGCTGCTGCTGCTGCTGGGCTGCTGCCGTTTGTCACTGTCCTGTGCGGTGGTTGTGTGACTTTCTCCTTTCCCTTTTGCTTTCACTCTCTGTTGACGTGTTGTTAGTTTGTGCTGAAGGCTGCACGCAAGTGACAGGAGTGATGGCGATGATGACTGGCCGTGTGCTGCTGGTGTGTGCCCTCTGCGTGCTGTGGTGCGGTGCTGCGGTGGAGGCGGAGGGTGATGGTTCTGATGGGAGTGCTGAACTTTTGCTGGAATCACAAGAGCCTGAAAAGTCTCCAGAGGGCACGCAAGACTTTGTACATGAAGCAGGAGGTCTTAAAGAAGAATTAACTCCCAAATCTGCGGATGAAGATGATGAAGACGATGATGATGGTGAAGGGTCGGAAGATGAAGAAGAAAAACAAATAGAAGGGCCGAGTGGTGAAAAAGGAAACGCTGCACCAGACCCAGTTTCCGGGGAAAAGAAATTAATCGGCACCGAGCAGCAAGCACGGCAATCAATTGTATCTGCAGAGGACATTCCTCTTTCTGACAATCGGGAATCAAATGCCATTCTTACGCAAACGAAGATTGAAGGAACGAAGGACTCCGACAACAATCCACCTGCGGTAGAGAATCCACTCACAACAGTTAACAGGGAGCAAACACTGCATGCGGAAGGAAATCTTCCACCACCTCAAGAAGGTGATGACTCCCGCGAACACGATGGCAAAGACACCACGAGTGAAGATAAAAAAAATGTTCAGCCGCCTGAGACTGCAGCCACACCACAAAGCCACCGCGACAAAGGCTCAGAAGGGACTGGGGACGATACAAAAGCAACGACAGTAACCGCCAACACAACTGATACGACGAACACACAAAACCGTGACGGCAGCACCGCGGTCTCCCACACCACCTCCCCTCTTTTGCTTCTTCTTGTTGCGTGTGCGGCTGCTGCTGCGGTGGTGGCCGCGTGAGAGTGAGTGTGAGAGAGCCGTGCACCGCCCGCACACACACTCTTCCTTCTCTCTCTCTGTGTGTGTCCCATTGCATGGACTCTCGCCCTCACCTCACCCCACGAGGCACACACAATAATGTGCCCATTGTATATATGCATGCACACCCATGCAGGCCCGTTGGTGCTCTCTTTTGCACGACACGCACCGCTGCCGTCCTGCCTGGCTGCATGGGCGGAGCACCGTAACTGTTTCTGTTTTGTTTTTATTGCATTGAGTGGGCGACCTCTCTCTCTCTCCCTCTGTGTGTGTGTTTTGCTTTACGGGAGCAATGAGAGTGTGTGTGCGCTGGTAGTCCCACGTTTCGGCTTTTTGTTTCGTTTTTCTTTTTGATTTTGTGGTTGAGTGCACTCATTACTTCTTGTTTTTGAATTGGTGTTTTTTTTTGATTGCGTACGCCTAATTTCTTGTATTTCATTTGTTTTCCCTTTGAGATATTGTCAGTGTTTCTTATTCTTTCCAAACCATGAAGTATTTTTTTTAAACGTACAGCATGTTTCAGTTGATCCACGTCACCCCACGGTCTGCGGTGCTGCTGGTGCTTCTGGTTGTGATGTTTTGTGCCGGCGGGTGCCTTGCTGCCAGCCTGACGTACTCCTGCTCCTCTGACAAGGCGATGCGTGCCCACAGGGCGAAGTTGATCGCGGCTGTGGTGAGGGACGTGCCTTTTGGAGCAGTTGGTGCGTCGCAGACATGCACCGTCATTGGGAGGAATGGATGGGCGCCCATCCGCATGAATGTGTCGACAAGGGACCCGGATGGCACCAGGAAGTATTGCAGCTCAGAGCGGTATTGCGCAATGAATTCATTGGTGGCAATTGCGAGTGTGAAGGCGACGTTTTTCTATGCTGAGAAAAGGGAAGTATTTGTTTTGTTATACTTTGCAGCCACCGTTCGCTAATGGCCTGCGGGCTGTCCGTAGCGATGTGGCCAGTTTTTCCTTCTTGAACGATGCTGTCGTGCGAAAGGGTGTGTTCCCAAATAGTTGGATGCTCAGTTGTCGAGGACGGGGGCATTCCCACAGCGTGTGCGGCGGGGCTCCCCGTGGATTGTCGGGGGCTCAGCGGCTGGTGGGGATTGCAGCAGAGGAGTGGCTGAAGGGCTACGGCTGTCATTGGAGCTTGCAGAGGTGCGTTGTCCGTTTTTTGCTCGTTGATACGCTTGACATTTTCGGTAGCGACCTGCGCGTGAGGCACCTGTTGGGGAGACCGTGGAGCTGTCGCAGAATCCACATGTGAGGCCTTCTGCAACGATTGGAGTTTCAGAGTTAGTGCGTCGGGCGTGTGCCTTCATATTGTGGACGGACGAGAAGACGCTGCTGCAGCTTGGGCAGGGCGACGTTGATCTGCTGCTCGTCGTTCTACGAGGAGGTGCCGTGGACACGCCAGATGGAGGTTCCGGAGGAGGTCGAGGCGGTCCTGCCTCTTCAGTGTGAGAGGGACGGCACCACCGACACAAAGGGTTGCCTGTGATCCGCAGGGCGCGTGCCGGTCAGCCGAGGAGTGGGCAGGAGGACGTCCATCAGCCGCTTGCTGGTCGGCAAGGAGTGGCGGTGCTCACGTCGGGAAGAGGTTACGGCGGAGGCAGCGCACAGACGCGGTCCCAACAGCACCGCAGCACAGCCGATCCCAGAGGGCAGGGACGTGGTGCCGCCATGCCTCGGAGCATCACAGGCCTGGGCTCCACAAGAAAACAAGCTGTTTCGCACGGGCCTCTGGCAGCATGGAGAAAACACCGCGAAGGGCATGATTGCGGTCCTCCCATTTGCGGAGCAGTTCAGCACGGGGCAGGCTGCCTCCCGGTAAAAAAGTACGCTCGTTGCAGGCTGTCGCTGAAACAGACTCGGCCTGCTCCATTCCGTCCGTCGTGATTCCTGTGGTCTGTCACGGCTGCCACTCGTGCGGTGCCTCAGTGCATTTCCAACCATGTGATTACAGTAGCCAGAGGTGTTTCACACGCCGAGGTGGAAGCATTCCAGTCAGCATCACGCAGGACAAAGACGACATGTTTCCGTCGTGGCAGCATGCCTGCCTGTCGCGGGATGCCGTCGTCCGTCCCTGCAGTGTGGGATGGCAGATGTTGGTCCGAGTCCATGTAAACGGGTGGACGTCCAGTGGAAGACACGCAGTACGCGTTGCGCATTCAAATTGGGAAACGAGACGCTGCGGCCGCTGATCCGAGTTGCCTGTGCCGGGACGTCGGACAGCTCGCACTCCATGCCGCTTGAGGTGGTGGCGAGGTCCTCTCCTGCCGTCGTGGATGGTGAGCAACCGTCCCGGAGCTCATGGTGTGAATTCAGGTCGTCCGCAATAGGCGCTGCAGGACCAAGACGACGAATGTCGCTCGCAAAGTGAGCAGTGTGGGCAATTACTGTAGGAAGGCCGCAGAGGTTCACCACGCACATGCTGGGGCTGGCCGGTGGGCACACGCGGAAGGCGGTGGTCTCCAGGCAGTTGGTTCCAGCAGCGACAGGCGCTCGCACGGAAAGGTGTGGCGCACAACGAGGACCACGCCAGCGGCACGCCCACTGCAGGCCTGGTGGAAGTCAATGCAGCCAATGAGCCTCGTCGCTGGGCACTCTGGTGCCTGCACTCATGCAGAAGAACGATGTCGGGCTGTGCTGCGCCAGTCGAGCAGCAAGGGCAATCCTGAAGGGCGAACGACCTAAAGTTCTGAGCTGCTAGATAACTACGAGGCCATCCTCATCGGGGTGCGCTCCCTCTCCTCCCCTCCTCCTCATGGCCACGGAAGAAGACAACAGCCGCCACACGCAACTGCCAGCATGCACTACAAAAGGTGCATTCAAATCCACTGCAATGTGCATCGTGTGTGTGGTTGTGTGTGCCTGCAGCAACACAAAGCAAAGACGTAGAAAAGAGGGAGCAGAGTATGTGGAGGGACGCACAAAAATGTACAGCGGAGACGCATAACGGAAACAACAACAAGAAGAAGACCGCTCAAACTCATGACTGCACTGCAGCCCAAGCAGCGGCAATTCACACAATATTTATTGAAAACAAAAAACGTCCCCCTTCGTCTTATGTAAACCCCATCACACAAAATAATTATAAATGAAAAGAAATCGTCCATTACTGCTCCACACAATTTTAAAATAAGAAAAAAATCGCATGGCTTCCGTGTGGCCACACCAAACTGTCTGTATGTATTTTGCCCGCAAAAGAAAATTAAAAAGATGGTTGCGTGTGCTTCGACCGTCCGACCCTCCGTGTGTCCGCACATCGTTTATATTTCATGGGGTCATCTGCGTGTTGCTGCTCCCCTCAGCCCTCTCATCGGCGCGTGAGTGCGGCCCGCAGAGCACAGTCACTCGTGTGTGTGGGGACTGAGAGAAGCACGCAGACATGACGGGAGTCGCGTCACTCCATCGGGAGAGTGAGCGCAGCAAAAGAAAAAGAAATCATCGGAGGGGAGAGAAATGCTCACGAGGCCGACACCGAAGGGTGCGCCACCGCATGAAATAAACACGCAAAGCAAAACAAATCCTCAAAGAAAAACACGGCGGCAGGGTGTGGCTGTGTGTGTGGCGCTGCGGGTGTCTGCCCGCCCTGGCCGCACAGAAACAAAACAAGAGGGAAGAAATGCGTGCTCCGCCCCACAGGCCCTCGTCGCACGCCCACACGTCACGGCCCCTCAGCGCGCCGTTCGTCGCGGCCCCTCCTCATGCGTGCAGCAGGCGAGGCGCACAGGGCCGTCGTCATGAGCGTGTCGGTGGGTGTGCGAGTGGAGCAGTTGGGCGGAAACACACGGCACCCCTCGCAGGAAGAGTGCAGCAACAAACAATTAAAGGAGGGAAGAGTAGAAAAGAAAAACGTCCATAGTGATTGCCCCCAAAAGCAAAAAAAAAAAAAAAGAAAAGGGAAGAAATGGGGATATAAAAACGCACAGCAAAGTAAACAGGGAAAAAGTAAAAAAAGTTATTAAAGAAGATAAATTAATTACCGTGTGTGTCGCTGCTGGGGAGGGTCGCAATTGTCCCACGCGGCAGCCAGTCACTCCTCACAGAGCCGCAAACACCCACAGTCCCAACAGAAGAAGCGATGGCAGCAGTCCGCTCCCGCACACAGTGCCGGCATCGGTGTTATTCCCCTGCGACACATTTACAAGACTGCTGCTGAGTGCCGTGGCATTTACTCCCCTGACCTGTGAATTGAGCTCTCCCTGTACTTCCGTTCCTCCCGCCGTCTCCCCATTCGCACCAGAGCTCGCAGCCACCTCAGTTGTATCTGCGGGGCCAACTTGGGCCACGTTCGTAGCGGTAGGAGCGTTTGCATCTGCTGTGGCGGTAGTATCCACAGGAGTTTTAGGTGGTGTGTCTCCCTGCACAGCATCTCCACCTTCCGCTCCCACCCTTGGATCACCGTCGGATGAAGAAGCGACATCCACATGTTTACTTCCACCGGGAGAAGCGCGCAACGCCAACTGATTTACTGACTCTTCTCCTGAATTCGTTACAGTGGACGTTGCTGATGTGGACGTGCTGCCACCGCCCGCACCCTCATTTTCATTCAACAATTTAGGCACCGACGGCGATTGCCCGGCAGAAGAGGACTGCGACGGGGTTCCCTGGCCATTTTCAGGCACCACAGGTGGAATGAGGACTTTATTCGGGTTGAGGGCGCCAATCTCCGCAGCACTCAACGGGCGGTTGTAGAGCAATACGTTCCTCACAGTCACAAACACGTCTTCTTGGTTCCCTGCACCGCCTGCAGTGCGTTCGCCTCCTCCAATGTAGAAGTGGGATACCTCTTCTGAATCCTTATTCTCCAATGCACACGCTTCATACCCACACACACTTTTACCATCAACGTAGGCGGTGCCTTGGGTGCCGTTCCGTAGCACAATGGCCACTTGGTACTTTTTCTCTTTATCCCAAGCGCTGCTGTGCTCCTGAGAGTTCGTTCCGCCACCGCAAGACAGCTGCCACTTCCTTTCTTTGTTGTACGACAGTCCCAGAAGTACTTTATTATTATCGCCATTCATCTTCACACCCAACAAAGGAATGGGGGTATCTCCCTCCGGCAGATTGTGGATGGACACCGTCGCCACAAGAGTGAAGTTGTAGTTCGCAAAGTGGTACGGCTGATTCTTCCCCTGCTCGCCAACGGGCCACTCCGCCCACGCTCCCGTGAACTTCACACCATCCTCCGCCTTTGCAGCCCCTTCTTTCGTTACTGTTGACGCTGCTGCCTCATCTTTCTTCTTCACTGTGGCGTTCACCCCGAGGTACTCGTCCCTCCATGTGTCATTAGAGAAGTTGCCGGACAGAAAGCCAACCAGCCCATTTGTCGGCATGGCAGTGCCAGATGAGGTATCCTTCTCAGCACTTGAAGTGGTGCACAGCTTGGAGACAGTTTCGTCCACTTTCTTCCACGTCGCCAGCACCTCCTTCACACGCTGCAGCTGCGCAGTCAGAAGCACAGAGACCATACCGGGTGATGGTTTCCCACCGTCCTTCTTCTTCTCGTACAGTGCAATCAACTCTTCCTTCTCATTAGTTCCACTTCCATCACTTTTGTACAACAGGGAGCTGGCGGCAGCGTCATCATCCTTCCCGGATACCGGCCCAATATCAACAATGTGCGTGTTGTCCGTCAGCCAAAGATGGAGTTTTCCCTTTCCATTGCCTCCTTTCTCAGTCACCTCGGGATACACCGGCAGAGTAACGAGCATCACATTTCTCTTATCATTAACACCGTCAATCGTCGCTGTGATGAACCCGCTTCTAACGGCCTTCGCTCCTTCGCCCTGTTTGTTGCCCCACACGCGCGAGATTGTCCCGAGTGCCTCCGTCCACGACTCCCCCTTGTCACCGGACTCGTACACCCTGCGGCGGCCATCAGCACACGCAGTCATCATGATGAGTTTTTTGTCCTCCTTCTCTCCCCACTCCACGACGGAGGGATCACCGCAGCCACCGTCAGACATCCCCTTCGACAGCTTCCAACTATTAGTATCCTTCGGAGAAGATACGATGAGCGAAACGGTCTTTTCACCCTCCTTTTTCGTGCCTTCCACTGGGAAGACAAGCGTACCGTCCTTTATCTTAACACCCGATCCACCGCCGCCAGTCAGTCCTGTTAAATATTCGTGTTGCTTACAGAAAGGTGTTTGCGGGAGGCTTTTGGTATCGCTCCACTGGATTCCCTTGATGCTTTCGTCACCACTGACGTTCCCTTTCACCAGCAAAAGTCCGCAGTCCTCGGCATCATTATTCGGATTAGTGGCAGCTGTCCGGCTGCATTTCCCAACGAGCATGTAAATATCATTTCCCTCCACAAATGTTGTTGGTCGGCTCACATCTACTTTCTTCTTTGAGTCTGCGGAACCGTCTTCCAGAAATTGTGCATCTTTAGGATCCTTCAGAACTTCCACCGGCGTGTTAACGTTTAGTGTCGTGAGAAGTCGGGATGCAATGCCAGTAAAGCTGACATCAGACTTTTTGCAATGCGCTTCAGCAACGGCAAACACGTCACTCCCCACTTTTAGAAGGCCGGGAACACCCAACGACTCCACAGTTACACCACCCTCATTAGCGTCCTTCCATTCAAACTTTTTTTGCGATGACTGCCCCGCAATTTCCGCAGCACCTCCAGTGCCGCAGCACATCATCACAAGAACGAGGAGCAGCACCGCAGAGTAGAAGAGATGCCGGGACATGTTGCGCCTCTGCGGCTCACTCTCTCCTCCTTCCCTCATCCTCCCGCTGGATCCGGTCACGCGGCGACGGTTGTGTGTGCGGGGTGCCTTCACTGCAGCAACACGTGAGAGCATTTAAATATATGTGTGTGTGGGCGGTGTGTGTGTGCTGTTGGTCCTTTCAGTGCCTTCGAATTTCACAGTAGCGATTAGCGTTTAGCCTTACTTCCTTTCCTTCTTTGTGTGTGGGAAAGAGAGAGAAGAGGAAAAAGAAAATGAGGTTAAACAGTGAACACCGTCACCCATCCACAGTAGGTGGCACCATCATCCCCACTGCAATCACTCCCAACAACAACAACAACTCGCGCACACAGACACACGGAACGAGAAGGAAGAACAGTGCACCGGGAACACACAGCGACTGCCACCAGCAGTAAAAGCCAAAGCGGGTATCTTGCGCTTCCGCCACGCGTCAGCACACACAGAGCAACGCCCACACAAGCCGCCGCCAGTCGTTTCACTGTTGTCTCTCCCCGCACCCTCCATCGCACATCGCCCCGCACAGCCGGAGAATCCTTCGTCGCTGTATCAACAGCGGGAGAAACACGTCGGCACGTGCAGCTGCTAAGCAAGAATCCATGCGCACTTATCCGAGGAACCCTCAACGCCACACCACGTTAGTCAACTGCTGCACGTCGCCAACACCACAACCGCAGCAATTCCAGGGGACGCACGGCGAGCTCACACCCTCCATCCCCGCAAGAGCCACCACAGCCAAATTGTGTGAAAAATGGCGTGTGTGCATGTGCTTGTGTGTTTGTCAGCGTATATAATTGCAGAGCAGCCGTTCAGCACAAGAGAGTCAGAAGAAAGCAACGGCAGAGAGAGGCAGATAGCACACACGCAAATTACTCATATCATCACACACACGCAGCCAGCAGAATGGGTGCACTCAACCACAACACAAAAAGAAAAACAAAACAAAAAGCCGAAGCGTGGGACGACCAGCACACACACACTCTCATTGCTCCCGTAAAGCAAAACACACACACACAGGGAGAGAGAGAGAGGTCGCCCACTCAATGCAATAAAAACAAAACAGAAACAGTTACGGTGCTCCGCCCATGCAGCCAGGCAGGACGGCAGCGGTGCGTGTCGTGCAAAAGAGAGCACCAACGGGCCTGCATGGGTGTGCATGCATATATACAATGGGCACATTATGTGTGTGCCTCGTGGGGTGAGGTGAGGGCGAGAGTCCATGCAAGGGGACACACACAGAGAGAGAGAAGGAAGAGTGTGTGTGCGGGCGGTGCACGGCTCTCTCACACTCACTCTCACGCGGCCACCACCGCAGCCGCACACGCAACAAGAAGAAGCAAAAGAGGGGAGGTGGTGTGGGAGACCGCGGTGCTGCCGTCACCGTCGCCAGTCGTCGCCGTTGTAGTTTTCATGGCTGTGGCTTCGACTGGTGTTTCTTTCGGATTGGCATCATTATTTTCATCCGGTTGTTCTTTTCGTGTCCCTGCGGCATCGGCTGCTGGACCACTGTTCGGGATGCCCTCTTCAGTGCTCTTGTCAGCTTCATTATTGGCGGCACCACCGTTTGCCGTGGGTGATGGTGGCCCTGATTCTCCATGGTCGGCTGGTGGCTCATTGTGTTGATTGGCTGCGATGGAGGCAATGCTGTTTGTTTGTGAATTGTTGTTTGAGTCCTTTTCGCTTTGGACGCCTTTTGGCTGTTGCACGGTTCCTAAATCCTCAGTGCGGGACCGTTCATTCACTTGCGCTGTTGGTGGTGTTGCTGTTTGTGTTTCTTTCAGTTTCGCTTGACTTTCACTTGTCACTGTGAGTGCCACGTTATTGTTGTTTTCTTCGTCTCCTCCAGGTTCTTCTTTTTCTGTCACATTTGTTTCCTCCGTTTCAACTTCATCTTTTTGTGTCGGCGTGTCAACGGAGGGTTCAGTACTCTCGGATTTCTCTTTGAAAGCGGGTTCTTTGCCACCCTGAGGGCCGTCGCTGCCAGATGAAGAAGATTGATCAGCTCTTTGTTGTTGGGACTCAGTTGCCTTACCGCCCTTTTCATCCCTCTTACTTCCTGCCCCTTTTCCTTTTGTATCCAACTGTTCTGACTGCCTCTGCTCTCCTCCTGTACCTGATCCTCCAGGCTCAGACGGCGAGGGTGGTAATCCTGCACCTGCGGCACCCTTCACTCCTTTTGCACCAGTCGCTGCAATGTCCCCAGTACCAGCCAAGACACTACCATGCGGGGATTTATCCTTATTTTCCAATACGGCATTAACATTTTCATCTCTACCGTCGTCCCCAGCCGCAACCGCCTTTATTAATGCCATTCGAGTGGATAACAACCCGCAGTCCGCCTTCAGGCGCACCCTGTCATCTCCATCTTTCTTTGCATGCGTAAAGAAGTTCCCTCCACCCTCACTGCGTTGTTATCGACGTTCATCGCGTGTCCAAAAACTCACCACAGCACGAAGAGGGCACACACCAGCAGCACACGGCCAGTCATCATCGCCATCACTCCTGTCACTTGCGTGTAGCCTTCAGCACAAACTAACAACACGTCAACGCAGAGTGAAAGCAAAAAGAAAAACAAGGAACAGTAAAAAACACCAGCAGCAGCACGCGTTTCACAAAAAATATTGAGCCAATGAAAGTAAAAAAGACACACAACGTCATGCAATAATTTAACAGCAAGAAAAACACACAAAACAAGAAAGAAACAAAAGAAAAGAAAACAAGCAGCAATAAAGTAAAATAGTAAAAACGCAAAAAAACAAAAATATGCACCCGAGTGGCTCCAGCGTGCATGCACGCAATAGCACACAAACATGCGTCCACGCAATCAGTTGTAAGCGTGTAGCACATACGAGTTTGTCTGGGATGCGTTCAAAGTGACGGATGCAGGGAACAACGCGGACCACACAGCAGGGCAGTGAAAGCAAAAAACAAAAACATTATTTTCTCTTACTTTATACATCGGACCACAGTAGACGCGCACAAATCCCCGCGGCTGAGTGCTGGCACGCACAGCCCGCACACACCTCTTCAGCCCAGAGCGGTGTACGCCAGCGCGGATACGGCGAGCACCAGCGGGGCACACACCCACGCAGAGCTGCTGAGGCTGCCGTCGATTTCGCGAAGACGTGACGGTGCGCGGGTGGTCGTCGTGGTTGGCGCCTCTGCATTCCTGGCCGTATTACCTGGTGCCTCTGGTGCGGTGGTGGTCGTCGTGGTTGGTGGCTGTGTTGTGGTCGTCGTCGTGGTTGTTGGTGCCTTTGTCTTAGTAGTGGTGGTCGTTTTATTTGGTGCCTCTTCCGTAACCTCATTAGTTTTGGACTTTTCCTTACCATGCTCTGAATTGTTTACCACCAAACTATCGGAGTTACCCGTTAAACCTGGCGAATCGGTGTCACCAACACCTGGTCCAGGCAGACCAGACGCATTTGTTTCATCCTGTGTGTTGGACAACCCGCCTGATCCCCCTTCCGCAACGGCCGAAACTGGCTTATGTGACGCACCGGCACTATTCGGTTTCGTGATTGTGTCAAGAGTTAAATCTGAAGAACTGTCGCCCGTACTTTGCACCTGTGATTGTGTGAGCGATTCATTGGGGTCACCTGTTTCTGCAACAACCGCATTCGTGCAGATAAACGGGCAGCAGCACAGAGCGAGCACCAGCAGGGCGCACAGCAGACGGCACGTCATCATCATCGTGAGTGTGGTCGTTCGGTGGTGCGGAGCCGAGCTGCACAGTGAGGGACATGGAGAGCAACAGGGGAGACGAGAGGTGCGGCAGACACACACACAGAGGGCACACCACATGAGGAGAGGGCAGCAGCCAGGCATGCACCGTACGCCGCACACCACAGCCCTGCCGCACACACTCCAATCCACAGATGAAAGAGGGAGAAGCAAACAGGAGCGGCACACAAGGCTCCACCGCATGCACATACGGCGAGAGCGGTCCGTCGTGTCTGCATCCCTCACGGAGGATACGCACACACACAAGAGGAGGTGCAGCGCCCACAGCAACAGAAAGCAAAGTAACAATAAAAAAAGGAGAGATCCTCGCACACTACGTGAATTGTTGGTCCACGGGAAGTGCACCCAATATTCATCGCAAAAGCAACATTTCTGTTGCCATAGGCCCTCGTTCATATTCAGCACACACACTTCATGCAGGCCCGGCCACCACCACAGCAGCAGCAGTCGCACACACAACAACAACAAGAAGCAAAAGAGGGGAGGTGGTGTGGGAGACCGCGGTGCTGCTGTCAACTTTGTCTGTATTTGCGGTGGTATTTTTGCCAACGGCATTTTTATCTTTTGCGGATTCTTCGCCATTTTCTGCGGGGTGTTCATGCTGTTCTTGTTCTTTTTCTTCTTTTTCTTGTCTTGCGTGTTCATTGCTGGATTTCATTCCTGCGGGTTCGTCGGGTGGCGAGGAGTTGTGAGTTCCTGTCGCATCAGGCGACTGATCTTCTCTTGGGGACTCCCCTACTGTGTTAGATGAATTACTGTTTGGGGACCCCGCCTCACCATCACTGCTGCCAGGTGTTGAATCAACACCAGAAGAAGAGGGAAGCCCTGCAGAATCATTTTTACCACCAACACCACCACCAGAAGGACCAGAAGGAACGTCACCGGCACTATCACCCCCAGAAGCAGTTCCACCGGTTACTACAGAACCAGAACCTCCTCCTCCACCAGCACCAGGAAGAGCAGCAGGTCCACCAGCAACAGGAATCCCGGCACCAGCAAGACCAGACTCACCACGGATGGAGTTCTCACTTGAACCCAAATCGTTGACTGCTGAAACAATGGAATCTTCAGTCGAAGATTCCACGGCAGGAATGGGCAACTTTGACAGCAATGTCACCTTAATCACCGTTTTTTCACATCCGCTCGACAAATGGAACTGATTCTCACCCAACACTCCCGACGCAATGCAGCCACCCAGTGAATTGTTGTCAGGGTTCCTCGCATGAATCCCACCGGCACCGCACCACAGCACGCAGAGGGCACACACCAGCAGCACACGGCCAGCCATCATCATCGCCATCACTCCTGTCACTTGCGTGCAGCCTTCAGCACAAAATAACAACACGTCAACGCAGAGTGAAAGCAAAAGGCAAGACAGACAAGTCACACAGTAACACGCACAGTAAACAACGGCAGCAGCCCTGCAGAGGAACGCACACTGACCTGCACACCAGAAGTAAAAAAGCAATACCAAAACAAAAAGAGTAGTTGGGTGCCCAACGGGACTCTCCTCCTCAAAAAAAAAAAATACACTTCAGCAGAATCATCGTTTCATACGCCATGCAGCAATGCAGGACTGTGTTTATATGTACATGCGTACAGTGCCTGCACAAGGAAAAAAATATTACTGTTCCACAAGCCCACACAACATCCCACACAGTTCATGCGGCATCCGGCCTGTCTCTCCACTCCTCCTTTTGTGTCCTCCGTGGAGCGCACAGCCGTGGGGCCTGTACCGCGTGTGGGCAACAGAAGCAATCAAGAGGGAAAACAATTCGCTCATGACGGTGCGCAGCAACCGACCATTAAGTAAAACAAAAGAAAAGGTACTCCCATTGTTCCATGTAAACAACATTAAAAAGAACACCAAAAAAAGAAAGCCCGCAGGGAACGCGGCACATATTCTCTGTGAGAAGTCGCAACTCCACACTCCGTGGCTCAGAACACTGCCACAACCACACTCAGTCCCAAAAGCAGAAGCAGCAGTGGTGTGTCCACACACGAGGTGATACATTCGCCACTGCTCACCGTCGGCAAGGACAAGTCACCTTCGAACCAGACGTCTCTACTCTCTTTGATCTTTTTGTTTAAAGAAGATGTGGTCTGTGTGGCGCTGCTGCACGCACCGCTGTTTTTGGGCTCCTTAGCGGCGGGGGCGTGTGCTCAAGGACCATCGATACAGTCCCATCGCCCGTACACATCGATGGCATTGGACGTCATGAGGTCATTATATATTTTTTCCTACTCTTACCACCGCGTCTAGCCATACAATGCCATCTGAGTGCCGAAGAGGTGGTTGAGCAGCAAAATGAGTTTCCTGTTATGAAGCAACTGTCATTGAGAGAACTTTTCCATGACGAAGGTCCCGCTCAATGCCCAGCCGTTGGCGCACAGCCAAGGTGCCTGGACATCCTAGAAGCAGATGGTGCAAGGTTTCCTGCGGGCCGATTGGCGTGCTTGTGGAATCTGGCTGATCCTGCGGCAGCAGAGATCGCCGCCTGGCACGGCTGTTTCGATGCCGTGTGGCGTCTGGGTTGTGTGCGCAGCAACTTCTGTGCGGTGCGGTGCTTCTCCGTGTGGGGAAGACCGTGTCACAGAAATCACATTTGAGCTCGGGAAGCGGTGGAGGATGTTCCGGATGAAATGACCGACAGTGACTGACGAGACCTGAGAATCCCGTCAATGTAGAATCACAGTGCGGACATTTCTCCTTCCGACGGCGTGTGACGGTCCGTCTCCTTACTGGAGAGACGTCTTCATCCCTTGCCGGCAGAGGAACAGTGTCCGTCCCCGGTGCAGTTGGATCGTTGTTAGAGCGCATATATGCAGACTGTTCCGGTGAGATGTTGCAGAAACGGCATTGGTTCGTGCAATCTTCTCAGCCCAGTATAGTCGGCCCCAGAGCTCAGATTCCCCGCACCTTGCCCTTGCGAGGTGAACCAGTTCCTGACGATGTAGAACTTCCTGAGTGATCAGGTCCTTACCGCTGAGATCGGATGGCCTTGTGCCGCAAAGCAAGTAGCGATGAGTGTCTTGACAAATGGTACTACGCCACTTGTTGGTGAGCTGGGTAGTAAAACATGTCAGCAGATCCGTATGCCATGAAGTTGCGATTCCGTGCTCCGTGTATTGTCCAGCTGCCATAGTCTGCGTCGCATACTGATCTGCAGGCTCGCTAGCATGTACTCCGCAATGTCCGTAACAAAACTGCAGGTGCACGGACCAGCCAGCACACGTCAGTGTCAAGAGACGCTGCCAGATCTGATCCTCCGTCCAGTCGGTCTGACTGAGCGGGCCCTTGCTTAGAGCCGCTAGAAGAGACTGACTGTCCGTAACCACAAGCAGGGTTTTATGCCTGTGTTGGATACGAGAGATCATCAGCTTCTCTAGGGCTAGAAGCAGCGCACGGGATTCCGTCCTGTAGCTGCATGGGCGTGCACCGCAGTTTATGCTGGCCTTTTCTATTATCTCCGATGAGTTGAGGGATGAGAGCAGTATTCCAACCCCTGCTGACTTGGGAACGTCGACACCGCCACCGGTCGCAAGTATCCACGAACGATGGCTGTGCAGCGCTAGAGCCTCTTCGCTGACCCTGCGCTTTTCCCGTATCAGCTCCTCTTCGTCAGTTATTGAGTGGTCTATCGGAAGTTCCACACCGATGGTGGCCCGGTGAGCGGAGGCCGCAAACCAGGGAGGAATGGAGCTGCGAAAGAACCGCTCCTCGCGTGGTGAGCTCTCGGTGATGCCGTAGTCCTTTGTGTATGCGTCTACGAAGGCATATAGCTCGTCCCGAGATAATGGCGAGATGCGGAAACCGGCGCGAGGCGGTGGCTCAGGCGGGGGTCTCCGCATCCAGTCCGTCTGACATGCGCGTGTTATCAAACATGGAGAGCCGTGCGCGCAGGCAGAGGACGTGGAGCGGGGGCATATTAGCCTCCAGTAGCGCGGATTCCGGGTCGACAGTGCTCGGAACTCCGCTGACAATGCGTGCTAGGGTTGCGTACGTCTTCTGCATCTCATTCTCCGCTGAATCCGTCGCTACTGCCCATATGAGCTCGCTGCCATAGCGTAATTTGGAAGCACCGTATCCAATGACGAAAGTGCGTAGGTCATGTGGAGATGGCCCCGCCTCTTTGTGCGCTATGCAGCGTGGCTGCGATATCCGTTGCGAAGTGGCAGCGCATTGCTTGGAGGCCGCCACATTTAGCGTGAGTCGCGGATCGAGATTCATGCCGAGAAGCTTCGTAGTTCGCGATGCCCCCATGGTCATGACTGGGATTTGACATCCAGCCACTACCAGGGGCCACCTTCCTTCACGATCATAATCTGACTCCGTGTGCGTGGATAGTGTGAACCAAGCAGCTTCACACTTTGACGGGTTGATGGCCAGGCCATTTTCCTGAATCCACGCATGCAGTTTTCCAAGAACCATGTTGGCGGTGGGAATGGCGTCTTCCCGGGACTGCCCCCTAACGATAATAGAGAGGTCGTCCGCATACATGTCTGCTGTGACACCCGCAAAGCTGTTCAGCAGACTGAGAAGTGGGTGTACGTAAGGGGAGAACAAATACGGTCCCAGCACGGATCCCTGAGGAACTCCTCGCAGCATGGGACGCCGATCGCTGTGTCTGTGGCCAACTCGTGTCTTCGCGTGGCGACCACATAGAAAGTTTCTAAGCCACCTTCTACAATTCACCCCCGGAATATTAGCCAGCAGGCGACTGAGGACTCGATGGTCTATGGAGTCAAAGGCCTTGCTGAAGTCAACCAACACCAGCAGGGTCCGATGGGGTCTGTAGTGGAGTTGATTGCCAATACCGCTCTTCTTGGGAAGGCTCACTTGGAAATAGTGATTTCTATTATGCTCCACTTCGTGTGTCAGGTGTGCCAGCTGCATCGTCGTGGTACGCACACTACGATATGCATACTGGTGGGGGTGCGGCGTCCACACCCAAAGCAATCTCTTCAGTACCATTTTCTCAGCAACCTTACTCACAATGGAAGTAAGGCTGATGGGTCGATATGACTCAAGCAGTTCCGGCGACTTACCGGGTTTTAATAGTGGAACGATGGTGGCGCGTCTCCACTCAGCCGGAATCGTACCGGTCGTCCAACTGTGGCTAATGCAGCGAAGAAGGAATCGGAGGCCCTTTGACGAAATATGTCGCAGTGCCTCACTGTAGACTTCATCCGGTCCGGGGCCTTGCCATACGGCGTAGTACGTAGCGCAGCAAGCAGTTCCGTACGATTAAAAGGTGCATCAAGAGGGCAGTGACAAAACCCCTGATGTAAATGTAGCGGCAGACTCGTTGCTGTTCTGCGGCCCAAAAAGAAAAGAAGCATTAATGTTCAAAGATGCACGCTGTCTGTTGTTGCCTTTGGAAGGCCTTACTGCCTTGTGAGAGGGGTGAAATGGAAGAAAGATGCGATTGAGAGCATTCGCTGCTCTCCTTGCTGTTTTATAAGTGTGTTGACCATCTCCCAATAACATTGATGTGGGAGATGGAAGTGATGCCTTTTTTCGTCCGGAAATGTATTTCCATGCGAGTGGCTCGCCTGGATTTAATTTGCTGATGCGACGTGGATACGTGTTGCGCAAGCGCTCTCGGAGTAGGAGGAAGAATTGGCTCCTTGTCCGTTGCATTTCTGCCTCACGGTCGGGCGTCGGTGACTGTAGATAGCGGGTCTTTCTGTCGGTAGCGATCCGCTCTGCCTCCATGAGAGTGTCGTCCCAAAGCCTGGGACCGTCCTTGTGCATGCCGCGGGGGCAATGTCGTCGATAAGAAGTTATAAGCGCTCTCGTGAAAGCTTTAATGCCGGTGGACTGCTTTTTATAGTCGTATGCCGGAAGTTGTGCGTCGAGGTCCTTGACGAATAAATCCCACTTGCACTTCCCCCAACTGTGGAATATCCTAGGTGCCGAAGGTATGGTATCCTTAAACGCCTGATGCAGCGTGAATGTTAGCATATAATGATCACTAAGCGGCGACACGGAAGCTGACCAATCCGACACAGTCAAATGCTTTGACCATGTCAGATCGATACAGGATCGTTCTCTTGTGCCACGGGCATACGTGATCTCACCAGGGGTGCTAACCAAGGTGAGCCCCGCATCCGTGCACAGTTCTAAAAATTCTGCAGCAACCTCGCTTGGAGAAGTCTCCAAGAATGGCTCCCACTGTGGCTGATGCATGTTGAAATCCCCGCACAGCAGGAGCGGCGACGAGGCTGGAAGGCAGTTTAGTAACCGCCTGAAGGATTGCGTTAATTGCGGTGGTGGTCTCATATAGGCACTCGCTACAATAAGATCACGGTCCTGGTCCAGAGCAACCTGGACCACCACCACTTCAAGGCTGGTGTCATGCTGGGGGATGGTGAGAGGTATACGCTTGAAGCGGAGAGTTTTCCGCACCAGCACCGCCGCACCGCCTCCCTTGCCGATGCGCGACTGTGCATAGAGCACATAATCTCCAGTGTGCATGCTGGCGATCTGCTCCGACGACTTCCAAGTCTCCTGGATGGTATTATGTCTGCTCCTTGCGCCATTAATGTTGCGAGTTTTGACGGCGTGAGGCAAGAAACGTTCATCTGGAGTACTGCTATGGGACCTGGGTGCTGCTCAACGTCTCCGCTTAGCAGTAGCTTTTGTCGTTGCGCGTCACATACGGCACGCAAACGGTATGTATAGCGCTGATAAGCGCCGATGGAATTCAGCAGCGGATAGAAATACCGCTCAGCGGACAACCATTACAAATGGCTCCATCTGGTGCCCTTCCGACCCGTTTGTTCGGCGCCATTCACCCCTCCGCGCGCAGCGGATGGGCAGCAGGCGCTTAGCTTCATCCCTAGCAAAGAGTACTAGACCCTGGCACCACGTTGAGGCGACCGGCTGAGCCAGAGCGTTGTTTTAGTCTTATTGGTGGTAATATTTGGCATTTTGATATTCTGACTTGATATCTCTGCCTTATGACTCTCATCGCCTTGTGTATTTTACTGCGCCTTTTTATTTTGTGCATCTGACATACCGGTCGCACCTTGTGTGTGTGTGGAGACTGAGTTGCCAAACCTGTTGGCTCTGGATTATCGCTAGCCGAACTCAGTGACTCTGGCGGAACTCGTGTCTGTCCAGTGATGGCTGTGCCTGCTTCCTTTGGCAAAGAAGGTCCTGGACTTCTCAAACCCTCCTCGCTGTCTCTCCCACTCTCTGTCTGCGGCACATCGGTCTCCCCACCATATGGCTGTAATGCACCAGGCATGTTTTTGTAGGATCCGGTTTCCCTAGCTCAGGGCTGGGAGGACGGCTGTTATCATTGTTATCGTCTCCTGTCGCCGTCACACACACGGACGAGCAGCCGCAGCACAAGAGCGCAAGGACCAGCACGGCGCCGCACCGTCACCATCGAAGTCATCATCGCCCGTAGTGGAGTCGCTGGAGTCAGTCAGCTGATCGGTGAGACGGAAAGGAAAGAATGAAACGAGAGGGAGAGGGACGGAGCACAGCGGATACAGCGAGAGAGCGCAGACAACATGAGGAGAGGGCAGCAGGCCCAGCCGCACTGTCCACACACCACGAGACGGCATCCACGCAACGAAGGCACACAACGCCAGCAGCCACCCACCATGCAGGAGAAGAAGACATCCACCACCATCTCCCCCAGCTCATTCCCGCAGCCCCAGGGAAATGGCCAAAACCCGCGGCCACCACACAACGCACACGGAGCAAGCGAACCCTCATCCATCCATGACGCGGCACAAAATTTCCTGCCATCCCGCCATCAATGGGACACGGAGCCCAACTCAGCGCAGTCACACGCGGTGCATCACACCCGCAGGAAAATAGACTCGGGCTGGGCGCTCCCTCTCCCTCTCCCCCTCCTCACGGAAGAAGACAACAGCCGCCACACGCAACTGCCAGCATGCACTACAAAAAGTGCATTCAAATCCACCGCAATGTGCATCTTGTGTGTGTGGTTGTGTGTGCCTGCAGCAACACAAAGCAGAGACGTAGAAAAGAGGGAGCAGAGTATGCGGAGGGACGCACAAAAATGTACAGCGGAGACGCATAACGGAAACAACAAGAAGAAGAAGACCGCTCAAACTCATGACTGCACTGCAGCCCAAGCAGCGGCAACTCACACAATATTTATTGAAAACAAAAAACGTCCCCCTTCGTCTTATGTAAACCCCATCACACAAAATAATTATAAATGAAAAGAAATCGTCCATTACTGCTCCACACAAATTTAAAATAAGAAAAAAATCGCCTGGCTGCCGTGTGGCCACACCAAACTGTCTGTATGTATTTTGCCCACAAAAGAAAATTAAAAAGATGGTTGCGTGTGCTTCGACCGTCCGACCCTCCGTGTGTCCGCACATCGTTTATATTTCATGGGGTCATCCGCGTGTTGCTGCTCCCCTCAGCCCTCTCATCGGCGCGTGAGTGCGGCCCGCAGAGCACAGTCACTCGTGTGTGTGGGGACTGAGAGAAGCACGCAGACATGACGGCAGTCGCGTCACTCCATCGGGAGAGTGAGCGCAGCAAAAGAAAAAGAAATCATCGGAGGGGAGAGAAATGCTCACGAGGCCGACACCGAAGGGTGCGCCACCGCATGAAATAAACACGCAAAGCAAAACAAATCCTTAAAGAAAAACACGGCGGCAGGGTGTGGCTGTGTGTGTGGCGCTGCGGGTGTCTGCCCGCCCTGGCCGCAAAGAAAACAAAACAAGAGGAAAGAAATGTGTGCGCCGCCCCACAGGCCCTCGTCGCACGCCCACACGTCACGGCTCCCTCAGCGCGCCGTTCGTCGCGGTCCTCCTCATGCGTGCAGCAGGCGAGGCGCACAGGGCCGTCGTCATGAGCGTGTCGGTGGGTGTGCGAGTGGAGCAGTTGGGCGGGAAACACACGGCACCCCTCACAGGAAGAGTGCAGCAACAAACAATTAAAGAGGGAAGAGTAGAAAAGAAAAAAACGTCCATAGTGATTGCCCCAAAAGCAATTAAAAGGGATATAATAACGCACAGCAAAAGCAAACAGGGAAAAAGTGAAAAAAGTTATTAAAGAAGATAAATTAATTACCGTGTGTATCGGTGCAGAGGAGGTCGCAATTGTCCCACGCGGCAGCCAGTCACTCCTCACAGAGCCGCAAACATCCACAGCCCCAACAGAAGAAGCAACGGCAGCAGTCCGCTCCCACGCACAGTGCCGGCATCGGTGTTATTTCCCTGCGACACATTTCCGAGGCTGCTGCTGAGTGCCGCAGCATTTACTCCCCTGACCTGTGAATTAACCTCCTGCACATCCGTCCCTCCCACCGTCTCCCCATTCGCACCAGAGCTCACGCTCACCTCGGCAGTGTGGAGTGATCCATCTCCCTGAACCGTTTCTCCACTCCCTGTTGCCACAGCTTTGTCACCACCAGACAAGGGAGTGCCATCTGCATTTTTGTTTCCACTGGAAGAAGTTCCAGATGTCGGTTGCTTTACGGGCTCCTGTCCTGAAGAAGATGCGGCAGTAGACGTCGCTGGTGTGGATGCGCCGCCAGCTCCGGCAGCAATACTCCCCTTCGGCTGTCCCTGATCCGACGGCTGTTGCCCGGCAGAATTGGACAGGGGCACGGTTCCCTGCACAGGTAATCCACTTGCCGCTGGTGAAAGAGGAGATGTCGCCGATGTCTTCGGACCTTCCCGCTTCGGATGAGTAATTTTATTTTTGACGAGTCCTGCAATTTCATCGTCATCCAACGGGCGGTTGTACAGCAGGACGTTCCTCACAGTCACAGACAAGCCTTCTTGATTCCCCGTGCTGCTTCCATCCCCTCCAATGTAGAAGTGTGAGATCCCTTTAGACTTTTCAATACCCATCAAATCTAATTGCGCATTCCCAACAATTATATCATCGACGTAGGCGGAGCCTTGGGTGCCGTTCCGTAGCAAAATTACGACATGTTTTTTTTTCTCCGATGTGCTGCTGAGCTCCTTGTTCTGTCCGCCACCGCAGAACACTATCCGCTTCTTTTCGCTGTCGTACGACAGTCCAAAAACTTTCTTTTCTCCTGGGCCTTCCCAACGCGCACCCATCAATGGAATATTACCACTCGTCGGCACCTTGTCGATGGACACCGTCGCCACAAGAGTGAAGTTGTAGTTCGCAAAGTGGTACAGCTGATTATCCCCTTTCTTGCCAACGGGCCACTCCGCCCACGCTCCATGGAACTGCACACCATCGGAAGTATTTGTTGCCTTCTTACCCCCTTCACTTTTGTTCTTTACTGTGGCGTTCACCCCGAGGTACTCGTCCCTCCATGTGTTATCAGAGAAGTTGCCCGACAAAAAGCCAACCAGCCCATCCGTGATCCTAACAGTAGAGCTGCAGGCATCGCCAGTAGAGGCATCCTCCTCAGCACTTTTAGAAGGGCACAGCTCGGAGACAAGGTCGTCCGCTTTCTTCCACGTCGTCAGCACCTCCTTCACACGCTTTAGCTGCGCACTCAGGAGCACAGAGACCACACCGGGTGATGTTTTGCCCTCATCGCCCTTCTTCTCGTACAATGCAATCAACTTCTCCCCCTTCTGCTCATTATCACCATCTTTACCACTTTTGTACAACAGAGAGCTGGCGGCAGCGTCATCATCCTTCCCGGATACCGGCCCAATATCAACAATGTGCGTATTGTCCGTCAGCCAAAGATGGAGTTTTCCCTTTCCGTTTTCTTTTTTACTCTCCTCCTCGGGATACACCGGCAGAGTGACGAGCATCACATTTCTCTTATCAGCAACACCGTCAATCTTCGCTGTGATGAACCCGCTTCTAACGGCCTTCACTTTTCCGCCCTTTTTGTTGCCCCACACGCACGAGAGTGTCCCGAGTGCCTCCGTCCACGACTTCCCCTTGTCACCGGACTCGTACACCCTGCGGCGGCCATCATCACACGCAGTCATCATGATGAGTTTTTTGTCCTCCTTCCCCCACTCCACGACGGAGGGATCACTGCAGCCACCGTCAGACGTCCCGTTGGACAGCTTCCAACTCACAGCAGTATCCTTCACGTCGTGTATAATCAGCGAAACGGCCTTTTCATCCTCATTCTTCGTGCCTTCCACTGGGAACACAAGCGTGTCGTCCTCCATCTTAATACCCGATCCACCGCCGCCAGTCAGCCGTGTCCAAGAATCTAGTTCGCCAACAGAAATACGCGAGACATCGTCCTTATCTTTCCATTTGATTCTTTTATCACCACCACTTCCGTCACTGACGTTCCCTTTCACCAGCAATAATCCCCCGTTCTCGGCACCGCCACCCTCTTTACCAGCAGCTGTCCGGCTGTATTTCCCAACAAGCATGTAAATATCATTTCCCTGCACAACTGTTGTTGGTCGGCTCACATCCACTTTCTTCTTTTGGACTTCGGAACCGTCTTCCAGAAATTGTGTCTCTTTCACTTCATTCAGAACTTCCACCGGTGTGTTAGCATTATCTTTCGTGATAATTTGGGAAGCAATGCCAGTAAAGCTGTTGCCCTCACTGTTCTTCTTCCACTGCGCCTCGGCGACGGCAAATACGTCACTCCCCACTTTTAGAAGGCCGGGAGCTCCCAACGACTCCACAGTTACACCACCTTCACACTTAGCCTCCTTCCATTTGTACTTTGGTTCAGATGACTGCACCGCAGCTTCCGCAGCACCTCCAGCGTTGCAGCACATCATCACAAGAAGAAGAAAAAGGGGCACCGCAGAGTAGAAGAGATGCCGGGACATGTTGGGCCTCTGCGGCTCACTCTCTCCTCCTTCCCTCATCCTCCCGCTGGATCCGGTCACGCGGCGACGGTTGTGTGTGCGGGGTGCCTTCACTGCAGCAACACGTGAGAGCATTTAAATATGTGTGTGTGTGCGGTGTGTGTGCTGTTGGTCCTTTCAGAGCCCTCGAATCTCACAGTAGCGATTATCGTTTAGCCTTACTTCCTTTCCTTCTTGTGTGGAAAAGAGAGAGAAGAGGAAAAAGGAGTTAAACAGTGAACACCGTCACCCATCCACAGTGAGTGGCATCATCATCCCCACCGCAGTCACTCCTAACAACAACAACTCACGCACACAGACACACGGAAGGAGAAGGAAAAACAGTGCACCGGGAACAAACAGCAACTGCCAACAGCAGTAAAAGCCACTGCGGGTGCTTCTGCCACGCGTCAGCACTCTCCGAGCTAAGCCGACACACAAAACAATCAGCGAGACGCAGAAGGGTACAATTGCTCCTCGCAACACCAACGCGCCATCACCAGTCGTTTTCCTGTTGTCTCCTCCCACACCATCCATCGCACATCGCCCCGCACAGCCGGAGAATCCTCCGTCGCTGTACGAACAGCGGGAAGAACACGTCGGCACGTGCAGCTGCCAGGAGTGAATCCATACGCGTATCTCCCAGGCTTCCTCAATGCCGCGCCGCCCACAGGCAGCACGCCAAGGAAATCACGCTCGCAGCACGGCAAAAAAAAAAAATCGCAGTCCTCCGTCATCCCTCCTCGAAAGGGCCGCCGCAGCCAAAATCTTGTGCGTGTGCGCGTCCTCATCATTCACGCCACTCCACAGCGTGTGCATTTGTTTGTGTGTTTGTCAGTGGATATACTTGCAGAGCAGCTGTGCGCCACAAGAGAGTCTGAAGAAAGCAACGGCAGAGAGAGGCAGATAGCACACACGCAAATTACTCATATCATCACACACACACACACGCAGCCGCGGAATTGGTGCACCCAACCATAACACAAGTAAAACAAAAACAAAACAAAAAGCCGAAGCGTGGGACGACCAGCGCACACACACTCTCATTACTCCCGTAAAGCAAAACACAAACACACAGGGAGAGAGAGAGAGGTCGCCCACTCAACGCAATTGAAACAAAACAGAAACAGTTACGGTGCTCCGCCCATGCAGCCAGGCAGGACGGCAGCGGTGCGTGTCGTGCAAAAGAGAGCACCAAAGGGCCTGCATGGGTGTGCATGCATATATACAATGGGCACATTATTGTGTGTGCCTCGTGGGGTGAGGTGAGGGCGAGAGTCCATGCAAGGGGACACACACACAGAGTGAGAGAAGGAAGAGTGTGTGTGCGGGCGGTGCACGGCTCTCTCACACTCACTCTCACGCGGCCACCATAGCAGCACTCGCAACAACAAGAAGAAGAAGCAAAAGAGGGGAGGTGGTGGGGGAGGCCGCGGTGCTGCCGTCAGTGGCGTCTGTATTGGCGGTGGCATTGGTACGAACAATGTTTTTATCGTTTGTAAAGTCGTTTTGATAGCTTGAATGATTTTGTTGTTGTTCTTCGTGAAGTCCTTCCGGTTGTACTGTTGACAGCGACCTCTGCGTTGTTTCCAATCCCGCGGGTGAGGCGGGCAGTATCCCTTGTTTTTCTTGCTGTTCCTGTTGATGCGGCAGTTGGTTTTCTTCTTGTTCTCGTTGTTGCGTTCGTGTTACTGGTCCCTTTTCGTTTTTCTCATTTTGTCCATCGGCTCGTTGTTCCCGTTGTTTTTCTTTTTCAGCAGCCTCTGCGTCTCCTACCAGATGTTCTCCTGTATGCGTGCGTGTTACTTCCTGCTCAATCTCAGTTGAATTCACTTTCGGTTCAACTGGAACGCGTACAACATTTTCGTTTGAAACCTCATGCCCTCCATCTCCTGTTTGTTTGCGGCCAGCAACAACTTTATTTTTTCGGTCCTCTTCCTGGGAATCAACAGCGTGTTCGCCTCCTTCCAAAGGCCTTTCTGTGGGTATGTCGGATGCCTTTGGTTCAACTGTGGGTTGGTGTTCTTTTCCTTGTGGCGATTGTCCTTCTTGATTGTGTAAGCCTTGTTCTCCGACTGGGAGCGCTTGATCTTTCGGTTCTATTTCTATTTCTGTTTTTGTGCCCTTTAAATTTGTCAGCAATACTGCGTTTTCTTCCTTTGGGGAAGTTGGTGGCGATGGTCCTGGTGGTGGGTGATTTCTCGTGCCAGCCGCCGTTGAGTCTTCCTTTGGCCTCTGACTCGCAGTTATTTTAGCGGGATCGGCACCTGCATTCACTTTCAGTCCTTCTGGGCTAATTGCATCCCCGCTTAATTTCAATGTATCCTCCCTTGCCGGAGGATTCAGAGATCCTCCTTCTACTCCTGGCAGACCGCTTCCCTCTTGCAAGCCCTGAACAGAAGGAGATGATCCTTTCGGCCTGTCATTGCTTTGACCATTATTTCCCTTTCCATCATCAACACCCTCAACCGCGACAACGGCATACCACTGATGTCTCCAACGACGACGGCCATCCACAACGGCACGCAAACCGTCCATCCCCTGATGCACGCATTTCTCAACGGCGGACGCATTCGCACTGCCTCCTGTCCTCCTGCTGACTTCCTCCGCGCATTTCCTCCGCAGCCGAGTCCGCCAATGCAATATTAAGTCCTCATCCAAACTGCCATCAGAAACAACGCCAGCACCGTCGGCCGCAACTCCAGACAAACCCCACCACAGCACGCAGAGGGCACACACCAGCAGCACACGGCCAGTCATCATCGCCATCACTCCTGTCACTTGCGTGTAGACTTCAGCACAAAATAACAACACTTCAACGCAGAGTGAAAGCAAAAGGAAAAACGAAAGACACGGCCGCTACACCACACACAGCCACCGCACAATAACAAACGGCAGCAGCCCAGCAACAAATGGAAGCAGCACAGCAGCGGCAGCGCACACACACCATGAGTCAGTTGAAAACAGTGAAAGGGCAAAAATGCACACAGCCCCGTAGCAAGTAAACAGAAAAAACACACGAAGCAATTAAAAACAAAACAGAGGTAAACAAAAAGAAGAAAGGTAAAAAAAATTAAAAACACACACAAAACAAAGGCTGCACAGTATGGCTCCAGCGCGCACGCACCCATCCTCAAATGTGACTCCACGCAATCAGTTGTGTGCGTGCCATGCGTATGAGTCTGTCTGGGATGTGTTCAACGTGACAGATACAGGGAGCAGCACAACCCGGATCGCATAGCAGGGCAGTGAAGCAAAACACAATCATAATTACTCCTATTTATTTACATCGGACCACAGTAGACGCGCACAAATCCCCGTGATTGAGTGCTGGCACGCACAGCCCGCACACACCTCTTCAGCCCACAGTGGTGTACGCCAGCGCGGAAACGGCAAGCAGCAGCGAGGCACACACCCACGCAGAGCTGCTGAGGCTGCCGTCAATTTCGCGAAGACGTGACGGTGCGTTGGTAGTCGTTGTGGTTGGCGCCTCTGTATTCCTGGTCGTATTACTTGGTCCCTCTGTTGTAGTGATTTCTGATTCTGGTTCCTGTGATTTACTGTTCGGCGAATTTTGAGTGTGTGCCGTGCTTGGTGCAGCATCGGTCCTCATACTTTGTGTCTGCGCATTATCGGTCGGATGTGGAGATTCTCCCGTGCCGGTTGCCTCACTTGTTGACTTTGGCTCTGGGGGCAGTGGAATGGAGACAGCGGGATTCGGTGCGACATTAGCATTCCCGCCACTGCTGGATCGTGGTGCAGTTTGCGATCCCGCTGGTGGCTCTCTCTTTTCACTGCCGTTTTTTCCCAGGGCGTTATCAACGCTATCTTTTTTGGTGTGTTCGGCTTCCTGGTGCGCTCCGCGTCCTCCACCTCCACCGCCTTGCGGTGCTGCCTTTTCCGTCTCTGACACCTGTGGCTTTCCTGTGACGGTTTGTCCTGAAGCCTGACTGCCCTGGGAGGAACTCCCACCTTCAGCATGCACTCCATCTGCTGCCTGCTGAGATGAGTTGGGGAGTGGGGATGTTGTGCCTGCAGCGGTCCCTCCGCCCAAAGGCCCCTGTCCACTTGCACGGGTCTGGGAATCGGACGCGTTGCCAGCGTCAGAAGGATCGGAAATGTTACTTCGCAGTGGATCGGTGCTGGATTGATCTTTCCTCGTCGGAGCAGTGGGCGGAACAAGGGGCGTGGGCGTAGGACCATCACCCGCTGTGTTTCTTCCACCCTCCTCGTCTTCCTGAGTGTTATTGCTCTCAGAGTTCAAATTCACCTTTCGTCCAGAGTCATCGGCCACGAGCTCACTTTCCGCAGCCATCACCGCCCACATGTGCCCAGCAGTCACTGCGCCATCACCGGCAGGCCGCACACGCACCCCCGTCGCAGCAGCTGTCGCACACACGCAAAAGAAACAGCACATCAGTGCAGGCACCAACAGGACGCAGAGCAAACGGCACGACATCATCACAAACAGCTTAGCCACTTAACGCTTTGGAACCAATCTGCAACAGCATGTGAAAACAAAAGGAGAGACACGCCCGCTACACCACGCACAGCCACCGCACAGTAGCAAATGGCAGCAACAGCAGAAGCAGAAAACACACCACAAAAGACAGATAGAATCAGCACGATTGCAAAACTCGCATAATGTCCTGCAGACCAAAAGTTTAGGAACCAAGCAAAAAATTAAAAAGATGACAAACCCAAGACTCCAGTGCGGATGCACCTATCCTCAAATGTGTGTCCAAGTACGGCTCCGCTGCGAATGCATATGAGTGTGGAATGCGTTCAACGAAACGGAAGTAACGAACAACGCGGAGCACACAGCAGAATAGCGGAAGCAAGTGAAACAAAACACAATCATTATTTACTCCTATTTATTTACATCGGATAAAAATAGAAGCGCACAAATATCCGTGGCTGAGTGCTGGCACGCACAGCCCGCACGTACATATTTCAGCCCATAGTGGTGTACGCCAGCGCGGATACGGCAAGAAGCAGCGGGGCACACACCCACGCAGAGCTGCTGAGGCTGCCGTCAATTTCTCGAAGACGTGACGGTGCGCGGGTGGTCGTCGTCGTTGTAGTTGGCGCCTCCG